CAATCTAAACTTGAGTGTGTTCAGTAACCATAGTAACCATAGCTTGATCTGCTTGAATATTTTAGCCGTCTTGAACACATGATTCCGAAGGATAGATTAAAAAACCCGGTATTTTTTTTTTAAACAAATACAAAATTATTAAAATTCAATAATAATTATCAATCTTTTTTTTTTTTTTCTTCTTTTTTAAATTTTGGATCCGGGGCTATAAAAAAAACATCCAGGGCTGAAGCCCCGAATGCCCATGTCTAACGACTCGCCTGCTTCCCGATAAGGAAATAACAGCCCATTTCATGCAGGGACAAATCCTAGAGTTATAAATGAACATGTAAAACATGTAAAAGCTCATCTGGAGGATCTTTGCCTTTACTTAAAGGGTTAGTTCACCCAAAAATGAAAATTCTGTCAGTATTTACTCACCCTCATGTTGTTCCAACCCCGTAAGACCTTCGTTCATCTTCGGAACACAAATTAAGATATTTAAGATATTAAGATCGCTCCTGCATACAGTCCATAGGCTTCTTGAGGGACTGGCTCTTGCTGTCCTCGAAAAGTCATTAAAGCCATCGTTAAAATAGTCCAAGTGACTACAGGGGCTCAATCTTAAGTTTATCAAACGACGAGAACACTTTTGTGCGCAAAAAAACAACAAAAATAACGACTTTATTTCAACTATTCACTTCCTTCTCCATGAGCCTGTAAGTCAGTTAACGTAGTGTGATTGCGTAGAGCTACGTCACACGTAGGCTCACTATTGGCCGACGCTGGTCATGTGTGTGTGATGCGTGTGACGTACAATAACAGAAGCTTACGCTATTAAACTAGTAACCTGACTCGCGCAGAGGGAGAAATAAACCAATAGTTGAAATAAAGTCGTTATTTTTGTTGTTTTTTTTGCGCACAAAAGTGTTCTCGTCGTTTGATAAACTTAAGATTGAGCCCCTGTAGTCACTTGGACTATTTTAACGATGTCTTTAATGACTTTTCGAGGACAGCAAGAGCCAGTACCTCAAGAAGCCTATGGACTGTATGCAGGAGCGATCTTAATATCTTAAATATCTTAATTTGTGTTCCGAAGATGAACGAAGGTCTTACGGGGTTGGAACAACATGAGGGTGAGTAAATACTGATAGAATTTTCATTTTTGGGTGAACTAACCCTTTAAAGGGTTAGTTCACCCAAAAATGAAAATTAAGTTATTAATTACTCACCCCCATGCTGTACCAACCCCGTAAGACCTTCATTCATCTTCGGGAACACAAATTAAGATATTTTTGATTAAATTTGAGAGCGGTCTCACTACCACATAGGCTCCTAGGGACTGACACTTGACGGCCCAGAAAGTCAGTGAAGAAATTGATTAAATATTCCGTGCTCATCCCTATGTAGTTTTCACTTTCAGGTGTATTATGTCAGAGTTACGGTTTCAGCCATTCCTTTTGGCTGAGGGTCGAAAGAGAAAAAAAATGTATACGAAGTGTATGATAAGAAGAGAAAGGCCGCAGAATATAGAAACAAGACCAGAATGATTTTGGGTGAATATCGCTGGCGTGCGCTAAAAGCACAGGTTGGGTTTCTCACTGATGCCGCAGTCACCGTGAAGATTCTTCTAGACAGGTAAAGTTTGTCATGCTATTTGGAGAAATCCATTTAAAATCACTAGTAAAAGTTAATGCAAGCTACTTAGCAATGCTAGCCTTGGCACAAGTCATGCCCCGCTTAGACACGGTGAACATCTCAATTTGTCTAAAGTAGCCTTTTGACCAAATGGTAAATGGTATCACGCTGAAATATTCTAAAACCTTGTGTGTTCATGTGTTCATATTCTAAAACCTTGTGTGTTTATTATTACACAAATGCAACAAGCTACTTCTCCATTGCAATGTATAAAAATAGTGTATTAATACGTATTAACAATGAGACATATTAGGTTAAGGACCAACGTAATAGCACTGCTTTATTTTGCAAATCGCAATTACGTTATATGGCAACATATGTTTCCTCAGAACGTATTTCGTGTGATACAGGGTTGATGTCTTGAGTCCTCGGTCACTCAGTCGATTAGTATAATAAGTAAATAAAACAAATAAAAATGTTGTCTTTTTTATGAATGTTTTTGAATTAGTTTATAATTTGCAACATAGTTGTGCAAGGCGTAATAGGCGTTCCCTCTCGGGAGCAAGAGTGTTGTGTTTGTGCATGTGCATTTTTTAAAAAAAAATTGGAGAGGGCGGGTCTTCTCTAAAATTCGGAAAGATCCTCCGTTATACCTTTAAACATTTTCTTCATTGACTTTCTGGGCCGTCAAGAGTCATTCCCTTAGGAGCCTATGTAGCAGTGATCCACCACTCAGGTTTAATCAAAAATATCTTCATTTGTGTTCCGAAGATGAAGGAAGGTCTTACGGGGTTGGTACAGCATGGGGGTGAGTAATTAATGACTTAATTTTCATTTTTGGGTGAACTAACCCTTTAAGCCACACACCTTCATGTAGATATCAGAACAATTAAAATATTCCATCAATGCATTCTATGGCGCCTTTAACACAACATCATCTAACATTCGGAATGCTTATTTTGTAATGGTTTGTAAATTTTTAATAGAAATGGCCATTTCTCGTGTGGATACAGTTCATATACTTTACATTTATCACTACATCAAGTGTTAATAACTAGAGTCTGACTCAGATCAGTGGAACATTATTAAAGTGTAGTGCAGAACCAAACTAACTCAACGTTTACAGATTCATTCACAAACATCAGTGTCTTTATATTTATTTATTTATTTTATTATTATTGTATTTTGTTTAATGTGTTTATATGTTGCATGGTTTCTCTTTATGCTTTTTATGCTTGCTCTCCTCGGGTTGTCGTGGTGGAGAGCTGTGCATGTTCCGATGAACCCGAGAGCAATGCCGTCTGGCGCTTAAGCTCCTGGTAGGGTCACCCATGGCGGTAAGGTCGAGGGGGAGGTTCCAGACAAAGAGCGACCCAAAGGGATATACCATCATACCTCAACAGAGAAGGAAAACTCTGTACAGACTCCATCCCCACTGCCTTGTGGTTAGCTCCAGGGAAAGCAAAAGGCTAAGGGAGTAAACCCCAACAGAAAGCCAATCTCCATATTATTAGCCCAGGCCTGCACCTGGAGAGGTCACTCCAGCTGCACTGTTTCAGTGCAGAAACAACACGGGGAGCAGCAGTTTGCCAGTGATAACTAATGGCTCATTTGGCGTCGAGCTAGAGGCTAGGAGTCACTCCGGATGGTGGGAGGAACCATCGAGTTCCATTGGGTCGTTACGGCCCGCCTTAACCCGGTCAGCCCCGGACAGTTAGGCACTACCCGGATCCAAATACTGGCACCAGCTTGACCTTTTTGTTACTCGGAGACCCATGGTCAAGCACGTGCTCGTCACCCGCACGTATCACAGTGCTGACTGCGACACGTACCATTCCTTGGTCAGCAGTAAGGTGCGTTTTCAACTTAGACGAGCCCACCGCTCGAAGAAGAAGAGCCGCCCTCGCATAAACACGGCAAGAACATCAGTGCCAGAGCTGCGGGAATGTTTCGCCAGGGCCATTGATGAGGCCCTGGAGAACTGCCCTATAGACAGCGTGACAACGTGATGGGAGTACATCCGTGACACCGTGTACAAGGTCGCCTCAGACACTTTTGGGAAAAAGGTGAAAAAGTGTGAAGATTGGTTTGTGTCAGGGATCGAGGTGCTGGAGCTTGTCATCACTGCAAATCGTACCATTCTCCTCAAGCAGAAGAGACCGCCTTCTGCACAAAGAGGATTGCCCAGAAGCGTGCGAACGACTACTGGCTGAAGTTATGTAGCGATATCCATACTTCGGCAGACTGTGGTAATATCTGAGCCATGTATGAAGGCATGAAGAAAGTGTTTGGTCCATCAAGACTGCTCCCCTGAAATACACTTCCAGCGAGATCACCACAGATCGCTGAAAGCAGTTGGAGAGATGGGTTGAGCACTACCAGGAACTGTTCTCAAGAGAGAACATTGTTGCTGACACAGCCATTCGAAATAGCATGCCTCTGCCCATCATGGAGGAGCTTGACTCGCCACCCACCATCGAGGAACTTGGGAAGGCCATCGATTCACTGGCCTGTGGGAAAGCACCAGGCAGTGATGGAATTCCACCAGAGATTATCAAGGCAGGACAGGGGAGCTCTCTTCTTGGCCATCTTTACAACCTCCTGCTCAAATGCTGGGAAGGGGGCATCAAACCCCAAGACATGCGAGACGCTAAGATCCTGACGCTTTATAAGAACAAGGGCGATCGCAGTGACTGTAATAACTATCGTGGGATCTCCCTCCTCAGTGTTGTGGGGAAAGCCTTTGCACGTGTTATCCGGTTAAGCCTACAACTGCTCGCCGATCGTGTGTTCCCGGAGGCGCAATGCGTGCCGTGAGCAGAATCTTCCTCTGTCTTGCCTTCATAGACCTGACCAAGGCATTCGACATGATCAGTCGGACTGGCCTCTCCACTCTCCTACACAGGATCGGATGCCCACCCAAGCTTTTGAAGTTGATTATATCATTTCATGAGAATACGATGGGCACAGTCCAGTATGGCGAGTCACCCTCAGACCCTTTTCTAATCAAGTGCAGTGTGAAGCAGGGGTGTGTTCTGGTGCCAACCCTTTTTGGCGTGTTCTTCTCCCTGCTCCTGCGCTATGCCTTCTGCAAATCTGAAGACGGGATCTTCCTCCATACTAGGAGTGACGGGAACCTTTTCAACCTTGCCCGCCTCAGATCAAAGACTAAGGTCCGCAGGGTACTCATACGGGAGATGCTGTTTGCAGATGATGCTGCTCTTGCTGCACACACTGAGGGTGCCCTCTGGAGACTTATCACTTTTGGCCTTGCCATCAGTATCAAGAAAACCAAAATAATGGTGCAAGATGTCAATATAAGGATAGGCAAAGCAGCCACCGCCATGGCTCGACTAGAAAAGAGGGCTCGGGATAACACTCTATTAACACTCAAAACAAAACTGAAGGTGTACCAAGCATGCGTCTTGAGCACCCTACTCTATGGCAGGGAAGCTTGAACTCTATATTCTCGCCAAGAGCAAAGACTGAATGGTCACCTGTGCAGGATGGATGACGGTCGTATCCCAAAGGACGTTCTGTACGGGGAGCTTGCCACAGGAATACGACCATCTGGACGGCCAACCCTGCGCTATAAGGACGCCTGCAAGCGAGACTTGAAAACGTGCAGCATCTGTCCGGCTGATTTGGAAGCAGTGACATCGGACCACGAAAATTGGCGATCCACCATTAAGACTGGTGTCCTTTTATCCGAAGAAAAAAGAGCAATGCAGTGGGAGGAGAAGAGGACTCGCCGGTCTCGTTCAGCCCGTTCCCATTGACATCACCACTGCTTACACCTGTAGCAAGAGCCAGCGGTGCTGTCGCTCCCGTATCGGACTCTACAGTCATAGTAGAGTCTGCAACTAAACCACAGACTGACCTGGGTGCAGATTCTAAACCATTGTCTCTCGAAGACAGAAGGATGCCAACAACCAACTAGAAATACATTTCTACTCGGCTTGACTTGGAATGAAACTGCAAATAAAGATGTAGCGATTTTGTTTGCAGTAGAGAAACTTGCTGTAATATTTTGTCTTTATTTTCCCCTTAAAACATAATCATAATTTGATGAACTTACAGTATGACAACATTTTAATATGATATCACTGTATTAATGGCTATTCACATTCTCCTCTGTATAACACTAGTGCTTTTGTTAATGGTTGTATATTGTGTAGTGTGGTTTGCTGATTGCTGATGCGGTTGTGTGTGTGCATTAACTGTTAATGATGTTTAATGCATCTTTTTTGGTGTTTCTGGAGTTAATAAAAGAAGCAGAGCAGCTCATAAACACCATCATCTCCTGACGAGCAGCGTCTTCAGTCTTCAGTCTGATTCCCGGTAAGATCATGTCGTCTCATGTGGGAATTATTGTGTTCTTGTGTTTCTGCCTTTACTCAAACGTTAGCACATGTTGTTCAGCTTGTTGACTTGCTAGTGTGCTTGATTATGTGGAGAAGAAACTAAAGAAATAAGGTGGAATTGTTTAAAGCAGGTTTGGAAGTTTTCTTTAAGGTTCTGCCGGATCCAGTTTCCATTTCAGGTTCTTGATATTCATTTGATGATGATCGTAAACTTCATCATCTGTCTTCCCAGGTGTCTTTTCTGGACATACTTAATATATTTAAATGATACTGTACTGAGTGCGTATTAAATGTTTTATTTTGAAACAACTTTTACAATTGTAATCTATTTGCAATATATTTTAATATATTAAATTGTGCTAAAATGGAACCACTTCTAGTACATTTAGTGTATTTAAGTGTATTTATTTACAGTTCACTTAAAATATACTTTCACATTTCAGCTCATTAGAATTTTTTTATTATAAAGCTGTTTTATTTAGTTTTCAAAATAGTATATTAAAAGTGCAAAAATAATTAAATATAAATGTTAAGACACACACTCTGAAATCAAGAACACTTTAGTATACTATCTTGTGTACACTGCAAAATAAATACAAAGTAAATTAAAAAGTACAGCAGGATATATAATCTCTTGAACATAAAACATTATAATAAAGATCAGTGAAATGCTATAACAGAGCTATATTTATTAAATAATTGTAGAACATTTCAGTTACACCTGTATTAGTAAAAAGTGCACTATGAATATTACATCACTTAATAAATAAGCATCACAATGTGATTTAGTGCTAAACTAGAGATAAGTTAGGGGTCGCAGGAATGTGTGTTTCATGACAGTGTGTCAGTCATCGTGTGATAATGTAAATATGACTAGCCTAGACTACTTGTTCTGAGCAGGTGTTGTCAGTGAACAGGCTGTAAAACTGTTGGCTAATTTACACACACTCGTGAAAAACTGATGATTATTATCTGGGAATCATTCTCTAACCGCAGTCAAGTTGTGATTGTGTGTGTCAGTCAAGTTGTGAGTTAGTTATAAGATTAAAACAGGAGATGATGAGAGACTCAGTGCTTTCCTCTGTGCGGGAACGAAACTATCGGGAGATGTTGTAGCAGAATCACGGGAACTATTCCAGGATAGGCTTTATTTTCATTGGTTGTTGCGTTAAATCTTACCCAGATACAATAGTGCTGTTTTCTGATTGGCTGTTGTGCAGCCCTTTCTTTCTTTGATTGGCTGATCGGGCTCGAGTAAGAACTCCAGGGGAGACGCGCTTGATATGAGATTAAAACTGAGATATTTTAATGAAACGAGAGATTTATTTCCCTCCGATGAACGATTCACCAAATCTGGTCACGTTTCAAAAGGTTAATGTTGATTATGAAACTAGTTTCCTTTAATGAACATTGTGTGTGATTTCAGTCAGTCAGCTACACAGATTTACATTTCTGACAGAAAACAGGCTTGCAGAGCAGCAGAAGAACCAATATTTTAGAGAGATCAGAGTATTTGTGCTTTCTCTCGCCATCATTCATGGGTTTCTTCTTTTACTGAGGATATGAATAAACGCTAGTGAACTTTAAGAGTGAAAGCATCATCAGATATAAAGCATTTTCACATTACTTCAGTCGTCGTAGTTGAGCCCAACCATTAGTGAAAGTTAGACTGGTTTTTCACTCTATCATTGTTGGTTCATCGTGTGTTTAAGGTCATTCCAGTTTCACACGTTGGGTCAAATAGTGTGTGTGTAATCTCAGGCATTTCCTCCGTTAGATCAACAAGCTTTAAGATGTGTGTTTCTCCAGTGTGTGCAGTGAATGAAGAGCTCTTTAAACACGGCAGTGGAAACTTGTGAAACATCTGTCAGTCTGTGTGTTATTCCACAAACTTCTGCTTTGACCTGCAGACCAAACACACACTCCTGTCAGTAACGTAAGTTCTTCAAGATTTATTCCTCCTTTAATAAACCATTGTACACTTGCAGCTGTGCTGGACTGAATATTCACAACAACAGCATTCTTGCTTCTGTCATATTGTTCAAATGGAGGATTTACAAACTTTAATCTGACATTTCACGTATTTAAAGCTTTTAACATTACACACACTCCTCTAAACAACATGTCAAGCAAACTGAGCAAACTTTCAACAATCACACAGAAAACAACTTATGTGTTATTATTATATATTATTGAGTTATTATTTACACATTATTTTCCCTGTTGGTTTTAATAAAGATAAATATATGATTACAATAGTAAATGAAAGCATGTTTTTAAACTAATGACTGGTTTGTTATTTAGTGCCTGTGAAGACAATGGGACAAAACACCAGCATCAGCGGATCAGGTGGAGGAGGTTATAATATCAGCGGATCAGGTGGAGGAGGTTATAATATCAGCGGATCTAGAGGAGGTTATGATGAATGGATCCGTCAAATGAGGGAATTTTACAGGAAACTTGATGCTGCAGAACCAATCATTTTCAGGACCATTGCCGGCATTGAGATTGTAGTCATGATCTTAACTCTGTGTGCGTTGTGTGCTCTTCTCAAATCTCAGCGCTCCACTCCAGTGTTTGTGATTCATTTGATTCTGTCAGATCTCATTCAGATCATTTGTATATTAACATGGACAGTCACAGGGTCAGGGGATGCAGATAATGCATATTATTATAGTTTGATTGCGGGTCTGTATTTTATGGCATGTGTTGCTCTTGAACGATATCTTCTGGTTTCTCATCCTATCTGGTACAGATCTCATCATTCACTGAAAGTCTGCTGTGTTATTTCTGTGATCGTCTGGTTTGTTCCTCTGATCTTTGTGAACTTTAACTCTAAATATTATCTGTTTACACCTCTGTCCCGAGCGATCGCCTATTTAATCCCCTACCCGATAATCATTCTGTGTTTTATCGGCACTTGTCGCGGTCTTTCACGCGCAATATCTCTTACTTCTGTAAAGCGCAAAAAGATTTTGGGCAGTTTGTTCCTGGTGCTTCTGACTTACACTTTTCTCATTCTCCCCAACATAATCATGATCATTATATATGAGTTTTTTAATGATTATTATCATTCTTTCTATGATTTGCTTGTTATATTTTGGAGTTTGTCTGAATGTCTCCTGTTCCTGAACCCGCTGGCTGACTGTGTCCTGTACATGTTCATCAGGCCTGATGTCGGAGGGTTAATGAAGTCTGTTCACTGCTGTTGTAGAACTGACACACATCAGGATTCGACACACACACGGGACGAACACTCTGGAGTCAGTAGTGCAGCGTTTGCCTGCTGTGTTTCAGTGCTAAAGCCTGCGTCTCATTCACGGACCTGCACTTCAATTTCAACATCATGAAGTCAATGCCATTCTGTTCACTCACACACCCGTCCTTTCTATGGCATTCAGCTTTATTAGAGACAACTCTTGATTCATCAATTGCTCCATAAAACACATGCGGTGAACAGAGTTTTATTAAAGATGTGTTGATGTAGTGTTGATGCTTCTGCTGGCGTTCTGGATCAGCAGGACTTTATCATACGATGGAGAGGAGGGTTGTATAAAGCACGGTTTATTCTCTCTTCATTCCCCCGATAGACTGACAGATCAACAACATCAAGTAGTTTCAGCTCGTAGTCTTGCTTGTGTTCCTAATGCATCTACATTATACTCTTTTACCTAATAACTACTAATCACGCTATTATTCATCTATTACTAATGTATTACAAAGATGATTCACTCAAAAACGGACATAATGTACATATGATCATGTCCATCAAAAGATGAATAACTTTCTTTCTTCTGTGGAACATTAAAGACAATATTGTGATATTTTTGTCCATTCATTAGAAGTCAGTGGACAGTTTCGGGTGAACTATCCCTAAAAACACTTGATTTAAAGTGCAGAAAGTATATCAGAAGAGATCTAAGTTTATATGAAATATTAACCAGAGCTTGCGTGTAAATCTGAAGAGTTATTAGTAATATTGTTGTGTGTTTATAGAAGTGTTTGATATGTCACATATGGAGTCAGAGACTGTCCTGTATTCTCTCTCTTCTACCATTAATATAATTAAAGATCTCTCAGTTCTCCTGTGTGTGTTTCTGTCTCTCTCTGTGTGTGTGTGTGTGTGTGTGTGTGTGAGCTATCAGCTGTTAGCCACTTAGCTAGCTAACAACTCGCTACCTAATCAGAGCAAACTACCACTAAATCATACATCTGAATTTTTGTCTTATTTATAATACCTACATTTCCCCTGATTCAATATAAATCACTTTTCCGTGTTTTACTCATCCAGCCACAGCATCGGGACTCTCGAAAGCCTTCAAGCGATCGCCACTGTATGGAGCGGTTATGCACTATATATATATATGTCATGGAGGGCAAGTCTGGGGCAGATAATAATGGACAAAAGAAAAGTCATAGACCGGAAACTGATATGCCGACTTCTGACAAAAGCGGAAGTTCGAAACTACGGTTGTGCACATAGCCCACAAAGAGCCCGCTAAAACATGGCCGCCTCTTCCCCGGTCACCTCCAGAGCGCTCCACTTCCCACTGTCCTTTTAAAACTTATCCAGTGGCAATAACAGCGAGGGGAAAACAATACATAAAAGGAAAATCCTTATAACAATCCGTGATTACACCATAGGCATCTGATTTAACAGTTCCTTTTGTTTTTTGGCATTTGAAGGAAAAACCAATACACACAAAGCATGATTATCCACACAATAAAAGCTGTACATGGGAGGAGACCCCGGACACGCTGGAGGCCAACTGCCTGTTGTCTGCCACTATATATATAGCCATTAATGCCAAACAACTGCCAAAGGATTCAGCACCAAGCCTTGTAAACAAAATGAATATATATATATATATGAAGAGTTCAGATGCAAAAGCCTCTAAATGCCATTTGAAATTTTCTTCTTTAATGATGATTTTTATCAAACTTGTATATTTAAGTTCATTAATTTCACGTAAATAACAATTAATAGGTAATTATCATTGCCATTTAAGTGAAATCACTGAACTTAAATGTACAAGCTTGATAAAAATGATCATTCTAGAAGAAAATTTCAAATGGCATTTAGAGGCTTTTGCATCTGAACTCTTCATATATATATATATATATATATATATATGCATCTGGCTTTTTCATATGTTCCGATTTATCTACTGAAAATATATGCAAAATTGTGCATATTTAATGAGATAATGCCTAAATTGCGTAATTAAACATACACATTTAAAAAACTTATAATACATTTTTTATATACTTGTGTAAGCAATCAACTGAGGAAGTTTCATGGTGATATCTATTATTTAAAAATCTTACCCTATTCACCTGTGTCTCGCCTTAAAAGTTGGTATTTTGCAAATATACATAAAAAAGGCAGTAAGCCTCCAATATATCTTTGCTCTGACCCTTGACTATTGATCTAGAAACTTAATTTCCTCATCTTGATTGCCTTCTTACAAAAAAACTAGGAGAAAATGGTCCAACGACTGAGCAAGATAGGCAATTTGGTGGCCATTTTGATATGCAAATTCAGGGGCGTAGCACCAAATTCTGGGCCCTGTACACTCTCAATGTCAATGGGCCCCCTACACATGGCATTGTACGATGCGGGTTAGCAAAGTGAAAATTCAATTTTGAATGAAATGTATTTTTTTAATTATTTGAATATAAACAAATATAAACAGTGTTTAAATAATAAAATCAGATTATAGTAATGACTGGTTCTTTCATTCACCACCTGAATTGATGCATTTGGCCTACTTGTGCTCAAATACCTTTAAACCTTAGGCTACATCGGTTTTGTGTACTAACATTTTGATCCATGATACTGATGCAAGTTTTAAATGAAAAACATTTATTTTTAAATAGGAGAACACAAGAACACGAGAGACAACTGTACCCTCAGAAACCAGGTTAAACTGATGCTACCAACTTTCTCAGTTGGTCGCATCAGCATTTGATTTCGTCGCGGTTATTTTTTATTTTTTTTGCTACATGCCATGGGATTAATCAATGCATGCCGATGAATAGTGGTTTTAATGGACCAAAGCCAGCAAAGGCTTACCATAAATACCTGTAATATATTAATTATCATTGCCAAATTTCAGGATTTTCATGGATTTTGGACAGTAATTTTAATCTGTAATTTTAAGAATTTTACATTTGAATTACATTCAATCTATCTATTTACATTTGAATCATAATCTTCTGTGTCTGTCATTTTTCTATTAGCATCATATTTCTATCTTTTAAAAATCATTAAACATTCAAATGTACATTACATTTTAAAAGATTAGAGTATTACAACAAGCTAAAACAGATTTTTCGTTATCAAATTTTATAAGTTAGTTCAAAAATCAGAAATCTCACACTCCTTCCTCCTGCATTTTGTAATAATTTGTTTCCTGAGACATTTTCATTTTTATATTTTTATTCATGAATTCGTAATTGGCGTGTTCCACCATCAGTGTGCAATGCGCGCGTGACGTCTATGTGTCTTGCGGAAGAACACTGTTGCCGGAGCTACTTCTCTCCATTAATGTCTATGGCGAGTCACGCAGTCACTGGGCAACTTCGCATCCGAGTCAACCCCGGGAATCCGGGATAAAAAAACAGTCCGAATATAAACACTTATAACAGGCGTACCTTAGTGATTCAGGATAAGTCAAAAACACGGTTTGGAAAATGGATTCATGATGTAGCCTACTCGTTCGATTTGAACATAAGTTACGGACTGCAGCAGCTGATACAACGGTCGGTGTTCTTTTGCGCGAGCGTCCACTCGTATATGCAACGCGACCACATACAATTTTAACTCGCACAATCAAATTCTCAAAAAAATGGTCGCATATGAGACCAATTTGGTCGCAGTCTGGAACCCTGCATTAGCAGCAGCTGTCTGGAGTTGACTGAGTTACGTTAACTTTAATTGGATGTAACGTTAGGTGCATATAGCAAACTCAGTTCACCTTTTGGGAAGAAAGCAGTCATCAGCTGCTTCCCCGCATTCTGCCTCCTATCTTTTTCTTTCCTCTCTTTCTTTTTTTTAAAGCCCGATTTGGGCTTTTTGCACAGCATGATCAGATCAGGCTCCCGTTACAGGCTCTAGGCTCACTGCGTTATTACTTGTTTGCCGCCCGCTGCGTCTATGGGCGGTCGACGCGTTGCGGACTAAACCATTTGGAAGGGGGTCCAGAGTGTCTGGCACTGAGTTCATTTTGGTCAATATTTTTTTTAAAATTATTATTAATGACATCAATTGGAGGGCCCAATTAATTCTAATTAGGTTTAAAAAAAATTTTTTTTTAAAATTGGTGGGATTTCAAAGGGCCCTCTCCCTAGACGGGGCCCTGGGTAGTCAGGTCCACTTTTCCCCCCACTACCACGCCCCTGTGCAAATTAGAAGGTAAAAAACTCAAATTTCGCTCGGGGACCATTTCTTTTTGTTATTTTGCAAATATACATAAAAAAGTTGGTATTTTACAAATATATTTACATAAAAAAGGCAGTGAGCCTCCAATATATCTTTGCTCTGACCCTTGACTATCGATCTAGAAACTTAATTTCCTCATCTTGATTGCCTACTTACAAAAAAACTAGAAAAAAATGGTCCAACGACTGAGCAAGACAGGCAATTTGGCGGCCATTTTTTATATCCGAATTAGAAGGTAAAAAACTCAAATTTCGCTCGGGGACCATTTCTTTTTGGACTCAGCACCCTTGAAATATGTAAGTTAGGCCGGTTCCCGACTTGTGCCCATAAATACTTCTCACCTCTTATAGAAGGCTATTTTGCTGAAATCCGTCTATTACACGGATGTGCTTCAGGAACGCCGTATAAGAGACCAACAGTAGGTCAGACGCAGCAGATTACTGCTGAAAGCACCCAAGATTACATTTACTGTAAAACTAATGTACCGGAATGAAGATAATATATTTTGCATAAAATATGAAGCAATGTTTCATTTAAAATGACTGTGAAATCCAAGCCAAGTTGTCTCACAAATGTGAAGTAATCCCACACATCGCAATTCCTTTGAAACAACAAATAAGGTTTAATTTGTTAACATTAATGTATGAACTACACGTAAACAATACACTTCTTACTTTGTTGATCTTTAATAAAAATAGTTAATAACTGAAAGGTTTTGATTGTTACTAGTATACACAACATGTGAAATTAATAAAGTATTAGTAAATGTTGATATTAAAGATTAATAAATGCTGTGGAAGTGCAGATCATTATTAGATCATGTTAACTAATGAAACCAAAGTGTTCCTGATTTTGTTTAGGTGTAATACCACAAATAGCCACCAGGTCACAGCCAAACTCTATTACAGGAGAAAACTAAACTCAAATATATAAGTTACAAAATCCCTTCCATCACGAAACCGTCGCCAAACACAATCTGGAGTCTCAGACCTTTCCAGTGATTGACCAGACCATAAACTGCAGGCATGAAACCCGGTGAGAAGGATATTACCCCTGTAGGGGGTCCGGGGGCACGCTCCCCCGTAACATTTTAAATATTCCATATTTTAAACCATCAATCTGATGCATTTTGAGATGCATTTTTTGCCAACCTGGGGAGAGCTGGAGAAACTTAACTTCAGCCATGAGTCAAAAATATTATTGCCTCCGTAGCGTTAGCTAATAATAATAGGCCTAATAATACAAATAAAAAAAGACCGATGCCTATCATTACCAACGCAGTTTAAAAAAAATCAAGTAGAATTTCTATAACTGTTTGTGGAACTGATAATCACTCTTTTGTGAGTTAAACACAATCTATACTTAATACAGACAACTTCCTTATAAAGAAAAAAAATGATCATAACCTATGACAAAAATTATATTATAAACTAGATTAGTGGGTAACTAATTTTAAATTTCATAATTTTATAAAATCAGAAAATTTAGTGGAAAAAAAATAGTGGGGAACAAATAAGAGACAATAGCCTAAGTGTAGCAATAAATCTGGTAAAACGTTACACATTGCTCTTTGTATTGTTGTAAAATACATTTGTGAAAAACAAGATAAAAATCAAAAAGATCAATTAATTTATAGTCTACTATAAAATTAACAATATATATATATAGCACAAATGTATAGCACAGCTGTTTAATGAGGCAGTAACATATGATAGATAGGACAGAACAAAAAAAAAATAGTATTAATAATCTTTCATTTCGCAAAAGTAGCCTTTTATGATATGATTATGAAAGACCCCAATAGAGCAATAGAGTGCTGCAGACAGCGCTTATGCGCATCCCGAACGCTGAATGATGCGCTTGAGGCAACATGAGTCCCAACGCGCAGCTCTGGTAAGACTTCACATTGCCTGAAACCTGCTGCTGTTGTTGCTGTTGTGAGTCGTGTTGCGGTACAGTCTCCTGACAGCAGGGGCGCTGCAGGGACAACACGCGCTCGGGGCTCCATTACTTCCGCCTGCAGGACTCAGGAAAACAAATCGAGCTGTATCATCGCGCACTCTGCAGATAGTCTCCTGATTTGTTGCAAATATGGTGAGAAATTGTCCTATTTTGCTCTTAAAGTTGTCCCTAGTGTTCTGCTGGGGAGTGTATGGAGCAGGGTTCGAGTTTAGCCTCTGAGGGGATTGGGTTGTGTGTATTGTGAGTGTATGCGCGTGAATGATGAGCATGAGTAAGCGGAATGAACGCGCTCGCGCTCCCGATGCAGAAACCCGAACATTAAACGATAAACATCATCATCACTGGTTAATGAACTTGTGTTTGTGAATATGCGTGTGTGTTTTAGGGGTATAACAGTGTCAGTGTGTTTATTCAGCGGATTAATAGTGTGTGTGTCGTTGGACGAGGCCGCGCGCTTTCGCTTTCACTAAACATCGTTATTCCTCTATAGTTTCACATCACAATCTTTCATAACTATTCTGGGTGTTATTTAAATAATAAATGTTATTAAAATCGTTTATTGTACTGTTCTTAATGTTCACACTCCCTCTACTCTGTTTTACTATTTAAAAAACTCATCACAATAATATCTTTGTGAAAATCCTCAAAATGGGCTTGTTTTTCTCTTAAACTTTATTATTCTTCCGTTTATGTGTATGTTAAAAAATGCCCTAGAAGAAGTGAACTTTAACATAGTGTTATAAAGAGCAAATACCGTCATAATGTTTGTAATGTTAGCAGTGATGATGAAGTGCTGTAGTGTGTTAATCTGCACACAATCATGAGTGTCTGTGAGGCTCGACTAATGATTATTACTACACAATGATTTAAGATGTGCTTAATTTGACTTTATTATGAAGTGTTCTGAAGAAACAGCCGTGCAAGTGTGCTGTCCTCTAAGTGCACTCGTCTCTAGGAGTTTAGTGCAGTGTTGACTGTGTAGTGTGTAGTGTTGTGTTGAGTGTGTGTACAGTGTTGAGTGTGTGTGTGTTGTGTTGAGTGTGTGTACAGTGTTGAGTGTGTGTGTGGTGTTGTGTTGAGTGTGTGTACAGTGTTGAGTGTGTGTGTGTTGTGTTGAGTGTGTGTACAGTGTTGAGTGTGTGTGTGTTGTGTTGAGTGTGTAGTGTTGTGTTGAGTATGTGTACAGTGTTGAGTGTGTGCAGTGTTGTGTTGTGTTGAGTGTGTGTGTGTTGTGTTGAGTGTGTAGTGTTGTGTTGAGTGTGTGTGTGTTGTGTTGAGTGTGTAGTGTGTTGTGTTGAGTGTGTGTACAGTGTTGAGTGTGTGTGTGTTGTGTTGAGTGTGTAGTGTGTTGTGTTGAGTGTGTGTACAGTGTTGAGTGTGTGTGTGTTGTGTTGAGTGTGTAGAGTTGTGTTGAGTGTGTGTACAGTGTTGAGTGTGTGTGTGTTGTGTTGAGTGTGTAGAGTTGTGTTGAGTGTGTGTACAGTGTTGAGTGTGTGTGTGTTGTGTTGAGTGTGTAGTGTTGTGTTGAGTGTGTGTACAGTGTTGAGTGTGTGTGTGTTGTGTTGAGTGTGTGTACAGTGTTGAGTGTGTAGTGTGTTGTGTTGAGTGTGTAGAGTTGTGTTGAGTGTGTGTACAGTGTTGAGTGTGTGTGTGTTGTGTTGAGTGTGTAGAGTTGTGTTGAGTGTGTGTACAGTGTTGAGTGTGTGTGTGTTGTGTTGAGTGTGTGTACAGTGTTGAGTGTGTAGTGTGTTGTGTTGAGTGTGTAGAGTTGTGTTGAGTGTGTAGTGTTGTGTTGAGTGTGTGTACAGTGTTGAGTGTGTGTGTGTTGTGTTGAGTGTGTAGAGTTGTGTTGAGTGTGTGTACAGTGTTGAGTGTGTGTGTGTTGTGTTGAGTGTGTAGAGTTGTGTTGAGTGTGTGTACAGTGTTGAGTGTGTGTGTGTTGTGTTGAGTGTGTGTACAGTGTTGAGTGTGTAGTGTGTTGTGTTGAGTGTGTAGAGTTGTGTTGAGTGTGTAGTGTTGTGTTGAGTGTGTGTACAGTGTTGAGTGTGTAGTGTGTTGTGTTGAGTGTGTAGAGTTGTGTTGAGTGTGTAGTGTTGTGTTGAGTGTGTGTACAGTGTTGAGTGTGTGTGTGTTGTGTTGAGTGTGTGTACAGTGTTGAGTGTGTAGTGTGTTGTGTTGAGTGTGTAGAGTTGTGTTGAGTGTGTGTACAGTGTTGAGTGTGTGTGTGTTGTGTTGAGTGTGTAGAGTTGTGTTGAGTGTGTGTACAGTGTTGAGTGTGTGTGTGTTGTGTTGAGTGTGTAGTGTTGTGTTGAGTGTGTGTACAGTGTTGAGTGTGTGTGTGTTGTGTTGAGTGTGTAGTGTTGTGTTGAGTGTGTGTACAGTGTTGAGTGTGTGTGTGTTGTGTTGAGTGTGTAGTGTTGTGTTGAGTGTGTGTGTGTTGTGTTGAGTGTGTAGAGTTGTGTTGAGTGTGTGTACAGTGTTGAGTGTGTGTGTGTTGTGTTGAGTGTGTGTACAGTGTTGAGTGTGTAGTGTGTTGTGTTGAGTGTGTAGAGTTGTGTTGAGTGTGTGTACAGTGTTGAGTGTGTGTGTGTTGTGTTGAGTGTGTAGAGTTGTGTTGAGTGTGTGTACAGTGTTGAGTGTGTGTGTGTTGTGTTGAGTGTGTAGTGTTGTGTTGAGTGTGTGTACAGTGTTGAGTGTGTGTGTGTTGTGTTGAGTGTGTAGTGTTGTGTTGAGTGTGTGTACAGTGTTGAGTGTGTGTGTGTTGTGTTGAGTGTGTAGTGTTGTGTTGAGTGTGTGTACAGTGTTGAGTGTGTGTGTGTTGTGTTGAGTGTGTAGTGTTGTGTTGAGTGTGTGTACAGTGTTGAGTGTGTGTGTGTTGTGTTGAGTGTGTAGTGTTGTGTTGAGTGTGTGTACAGTGTTGAGTGTGTGTGTGTTGTGTTGAGTGTGTAGTGTTGTGTTGAGTGTGTGTACAGTGTTGAGTGTGTGTGTGTTGTGTTGAGTGTGTAGTGTTGTGTTGAGTGTGTGTACAGTGTTGAGTGTGTGTGTGTTGTGTTGTGTGTGTAGTGTTGTGCTGAGTGTGTAGTGTGGTGTAGATCACACACTCGATGAGATTCAATGCTGATTGATGATTATGTTTGTGTTTTCAGTTTCGTAACCAGTATGACAATGACGTGACGGTGTGGAGTCCTCAGGTGAGTGTGTGAGTGTGAGTGTGTGTGTGTGTGTGTGTGTGTGTGTGTGTGTGTGGAGTTCTTAGGTCAGTGAGTGACCTATAGGAACAGGATCTTCCGCCTGCAGTCGATTTCGATATTCTAGGTATTATCAACCGGCCGGAGTTTGGAGATCGCGATAGACGTGAAGGACTATAATGCGTTAAGATCTCGCTCAAGTTCTGGAGATAAACCATTCAGTGCTTTATGAGTAATCAGCAATATTTTAAAATGTATACGATGTTTAATAAGCAGCCAATATATATGTTTATATATGATGTTTAATAGGCAGGCAGAAGTGGGCTAATATGGTCATACTTCCTGGTTCTGGTAAGAACTGGAGCGGCTGTGTTTTGGACTCGCTGGAGTTTGTTTAGTAAAGGGTTAGTTCACCCAAAAAGTCATTAATTACTCACCCCCATGCTGTACCAACCCCGTAAGACCTTCGTTCGTCTTCGGGACACAAATGAAGATATTTTTGATTTAATCTGAGAGCTGTATAACTACCACATTGGCTCCTAAGGGAATGACTCTTGTCGGCCCAGAAAGTCAATGAAGAAAATGTTTAAATATCCCATGTGACTACCGTGGCTCAACTATAAGTTTATCAAGTGACGAGAATACTTTTTGTGCGAAAAAACAAACAAAAATAACGACTATTATTCGACTATTCCTCTTCTTCCTTGTTGGCCTGAGACGAGAGTTGGAGAGATTACCTCGACGCATGCGAAAGAACCGTGATCCCCTTACACTACTTCAGCTCAGTTCTCGTGCATGTGTTGTGGAAATCTCAATAATTACAATAATCTAGTGTGTGTGTGTATGTCTGGGGAGTCCTCAGGTGAGTGTGTGATGATCTGTGTGTGTGTGTGCAGGGCCGCATCCATCAGATCGAGTACGCTATGGAGGCGGTGAAGCAGGGCTCGGCCACTGTCGGCCTGAAGTCACACACTCACGCTGTGCTGGTGGCGCTGAAGGTACATCTCTCTCACACACACACCAGACTGATCTCATGAAGTAGCGTGTGTATGACACGCCAATTCGTATTTCCATTTTTGGCGTGCTATCAAGATGCATAATCGCCTTTCAGCGTGTTTATGAACGCCGTTGACTTAACGTTATATAAATATATGACTTACCTCAACCCCGTCCCTAAACCTAACCGTCACTGGGGTTAATGGCAGTTATGACTGTTCCCTTACCATCCTAGGAAAGATAAACATAGCTCCCCAGATGTAGATCTACGTTTTGCTTCGTTCCGCGTGGACATTTGACGGCGTGTACGGACACGTGGAATCACTCGGACGTTAATGGCGTAGACATACACGCGGATACACGCGGATAGCTCAAATTTGGATAGAAATAACACGCCACTTGACTCGAAAGTGACGTGTATGTTTACGCAAAACTCATGATGTCATGTTACACACACACACACTCTCACACACATCATTAAACATTCAGATGTATGCATTAAATGTTAAAGTGTTAGACGGTCGTCATTCGCTGACGCAGATGTTTCACTGTTAAAAGCAGTGTCACTGTTTACATCATTTCCTTTTCCTGGTTGTGGAAGAAGACAGTCGCTGCATACGCTTCCTTCAATATTTTTAATGACGTTCCAGCTGATGAGGTAAAACATCGTCGTCTGTTCGCTTCATTTCACTGAGGATTGTTTTGTAAACAAGACTGGATTTGCAGAGCGATTAAGAGTAACGAACGGTGCTGTGCCGTCTATATTGGATCTGACAGGAATGCTGCAACACACGGACTCTGGGTCCAACATGTACGGGCCAATCATTCCCGTCGCCATTTGACAACATTGGACGTTTTCAAAACAATTTCCCCCACGTGCACCGACGAGTGAGTCGAAACTCATTATAATATGCAAAACTGTTGTCCACTCACAGCAGTGGGCGTTTACTTCCAAGTCTTCAGTGCGACACGCCCATAAAACCCAGTGTTTTCAGCTATCCTCAAAACTAGGGTAGAAAATAGAAAATTACTGGTTCATTTTGATGTTTTTGAATGTAAAAACCAAGCGAACGTCATAAATTGACCTCAGACAACAATATAATAACATTTAAATGCCAGTTCATGACCCCTTTAACCCTAACATTCTCAAAAAATGGTTGCAGTCAAACCCTACAAACACACACGCTGTGATGAATACATCTCTAGCGCTCGACACCCGTCAGAGCTGCTAGCGCCCGCTCCAGTAACCCTGTGTGTGTGTGTGTGTGTGTGTGTGTGTGTGTGCAGAGAGCTCAGTCTGAGCTGGCCGCTCATCAGAAGAAGATCCTGCATGTGGACAGTCACGTGGGCATCTCCATCGCCGGACTGACGGCCGACGCCAGACTCCTCTGGTAACTCCGCGCTGCTAGCCTGACCACAGGACACACACATGCACAGCCTTGAGTTATGAGTAGTGAGTGAGTTGTGAGTAGTGAGTTATGAGTAGTGAGTTGTTAGTTATGGGTTACGAGTAGTGAGTGATGAGTTGTTAGTTATGAGTTACGAGTAGTGAGTTACGAGTAGTGAGTGATGAGTTGTTAGTTATGAGTTACGAGTAGTGAGTGATAAGTAAAGGGTTATGAGTGATGAGTAGTGAGTTATAAGTGATGAGTAGTGAGTTATGAGTAGTGAGTTGTTAGTTATGAGTTACGAGTAGTGAGTAGTGAGTTGTTAGTTATGAGTTACGAGTAGTGAGTAATGAGTTGTGAGTTGTTAGTTATGAGTTACGAGTAGTGAGTTATGAGTAAAGAGTTATGAGTGATGAGTAGTGAGTTAGTTATGAGCAGTGAGTTAGTTATGAGTAGTGAGTTATGAGTTACGAGTAGTGAGTTGTGAGTAGTGAGTTATGAGTTATGAGTAGTGAGTTATGAGTTGTTAGTTATGAGTTATGAGTAGTGAGTTACGAGTAGTGAGTTATGAGTTACGAGTAGTGAGTTACGAGTAGTGAGTTACGAGTAGTGAGTTACGAGTAGTGAGTTACGAGTAGTGAGTTACGAGTAGTGAGTTACGAGTAGTGAGTTACGAGTAGTGAGTTACGAGTAGTGAGTTACGAGTAGTGAGTTACGAGTAGTGAGTTACGAGTAGTGAGTTACGAGTAGTGAGTTATGAGTAGTGAGTTACGAGTAGTGAGTTACGAGTAGTGAGTTACGAGTAGTGAGTTACGAGTAGTGAGTTACGAGTAGTGAGTTACGAGTAGTGAGTTACGAGTAGTGAGTTATGAGTAGTGAGTTATGAGTAGTGAGTTATGAGTAGTGAGTTGTGAGTAGTGAGTTATGAGTAGTGAGTTACGAGTTACGAGTAGTGAGTTACGAGTAGTGAGTTACGAGTAGTGAGTTACGAGTAGTGAGTTATGAGTAGTGAGTTATGAGTAGTGAGTTATGAGTAGTGAGTTATGAGTAGTGAGTTGTGAGTAGTGAGTTATGAGTAGTGAGTTGTGAGTAGTGAGTTACGAGTAATGAGTTACGAGTAGTGAGTTATGAGTGATGATCAGTTTTGATTCAGCCACCGATGGGAAAGAGGACATGTGTACAGTACCAGACAATTCTCCGGCAAAGCTGCATTTATTCAATCATAAATAAATAAATATATTATATGTAATCATAAATTCCACTTTACTGTATTTATGATCATATAACACACATTAGAAATAGTCCAGACGTACACCTGTACTGAGTGTGTGTGTGTGTGTGCAGTAAATATACAGCTGCAATCCTAATGATTCACCCCTCATTGCTGATCATGTTTATTGCGGGTCTATAGAGGGAATGCATTGACACGTGACACCCCCCCCTCAGCCTGACCGAGTGGCAAAGATCTGCTGCGTGACTGGATTTAATAGGGGGAAACTGCGGAAATGCGACTAAATCGAACAATTTTATCAATTTAAACTAAATGTTGGACTCAATATAGTGTTTCTTACAACTTACTAAAGATCCAGCGATCCATGGATATTGACATGCAGCCAGGAATCGTGTTGCCTGACATTTATGTTTGCCTGATTTCGACACCGGGGAAATAAAAGCAAGACCTAAACATAAAGCAAATTTGCCTGTGAACGCTGTATATAAATATAATATAGGTAGGTCTAAATCCTGGTGATCACTTATATCAGTGTTATATATAGCCTATATATATATATATATATATATATATATCATATCGTCCAGCCCTAAAACTTTATACGTTTTTTGGTCAGTGTTTATTAAAAAAAACATCCAATAATGCAGAATATGCAATGATAAATATTTAATTGATGAGCTGTTATACTATAATATATGGGTGTGGTTTTCCAGCTAAATTCAGCATATTGACACAAAATGATAACTCAAATCCACCTTTGGCTGACTGGAGTCCAGCTGTTTCGATCCATTTGCTCCTCTTTCCATAGCAGTCTGTACAAATATACCTCGGATGTTTTGTCAAATCTAGTTGTAGGCCTACAGTCGATCGCAAAGCTCTTTCCCACTTTATGTGTGTGTTGTGTTTGTTCATTCACGCTGAACACACATACAGCCGCTCAGTCCTTTTGCCACTCACTGAGGAACTGCAGCGCTCCGGCCGACGGTGACGTCACGCGCATACCCTCTATACAGCCTGCAGGAAATGAGCAGCAGTGGGGACGTGTCGGTCAGGCGGTGTATTGAGTGTGTTCTCTCTCTCTCTCTCTGTGTGTGTGTGTGTAGTAACTTCATGCGTCAGGAGTGTCTGGACTCCAGGTTTGTGTTCGACAGGCCTCTGCCCGTGTCCAGACTGGTGTCGCTCATCGGGAGCAGTATCCTTTCATCACGCCTGCTAATAGTCCACTAACCGTTAGCCGGCTAGGTCAGCCAAAATTGTATTAGTCTTTTAGTTAACTGTAAAGAGTGATGGAGTCCGGCCGGCTGTAACGAACAGATCATTAGCGGCAGGAATCCACACATCGATCATTTATGAACATCATATATGGCTTATCTCACAGCTTTACTAGCGCGCTCTCTCTAATGCTAGGCTAATTATCAGCTGCATATCCTGGTGTGTGTGGACAGCTCCTACTGCATGACACACACATCACCGCATGCAAGTCGCGGTACAGAGAAGAGAAATGAGAACTGTAGAGGGTCTACTTTATTTAGGAAACCAATAAAACTGTGCGTTTGTAAAACAGTGGTGCTTTCTGCCGTAAATGAACCGAAACCCAGAGTATACTTTCCTCTCAGACATGAGAAATACATCTATAGAAAGATTCCTATGGACATGAATGTTCTCGATGATGTGATCGGTGTGAATCGTCCAGCGTTCCTGCACATCCCTGTTGATCAAATATATCGACAGAAAAGGCCTATAGAGTCTCATTTTTACTTACGAAAGGTCTTACATTCTAGATGCCTCTTTGACTTAGACGTATCTAAATGTTTTCCAGATGAAAACTATCTAATTAGTGTAGGTGTTATTGTTCTGTCACTGCGTGATGTGTCAGTTATGAGTCTTATATTTATATCGAATTATGTTCTTATATTATAATATCACATCAGCAAGAGTGCCGTTTCTCCGTGCTCAATTGCAGCTGTGATATTTGTTATACAGCAGTTAAATGAGAACTAAGTTAGTTCATTACTTTTTACACACAATATTGTTTGTTTTCCCTTTCGACTAAAATCCACACTGAACGAATCTTTTGATTCTTTCCTTAGTGAATCAGCCGTTTGAACAAATCATTTGATCCTTCCTAAGTGAATCAGCAGTTTGAACAAATCATTTGATTCTTTCCTGAGTGAATCAGCCGTTTGAACAAATCATTTGATCCTTCCTAAGTGAATCAGCAGTTTGAACAAATCATTTGATTCTTTCCTGAGTGAATCAGCCGTTTGAACAAATCATTTGATCCTTCCTAAGTGAATCAGCAGTTTGAACAAATCATTTGATTCTTTCCTGAGTGAATCAGCCGTTTGAATGAGATGGTTCTCACTGCAGAACATGAAATCCACAGGGAGGAGTCGGATCCGGATCCAGATCCAACTCCTCCCACTAGGGCTGCACAATTAATCGAATTTGTAATCGCGATTACAATTATGGATGCCACAATTATGTAATCGTTCAAAGGCACAATTATAAAAAGTTCACTTACATTATTCTGTGTGCTTAAAATGTGTTTTTTTTTTTTACAGCTTATCTTAAGGGTTTTTTCCCCATTGTTTTAATTTTAGTTAGTGTAACATTATAATTATAATTAGCATTAAAGCAACACTATCTAACATTGTTTACTTAAAATAATGTTTCCAAAATCTTATCAGTGGTTCATCAAGTCGTAACAGGGTGAAAGGCATTTCTGCCGTCGCCTGACGGGGTCTGTATCGCTTTTACTGGCGCTCTGTAACTTCGGGGAGCGGGTAGGAACCCGACCACAAAAAGAACTACAAAATTCGACTGCTTTACATCAAGCACTATAACAGTCATTATTTCGTTTTCTTCGTTTCTGATGTCGCAATACATCATCCTTTCATGAAATCATGTAACATACTCTACCTTGTCTGTGGACAATGTTAATTCTAAAGCCGGTGCTGGATAAACAGCGAGCGTGCGTGCGATGGTAGGCTAAATTATTTACGACAGCGGCTATGGACAATTTAGTTTCCAACCAGTAGGGCGACCGAAGAGGAAAAGTTACTTGGTGTTACTTTAAACCATAGAAAAGCATTGAACGTTTTTCAGGAGTTTTCAGCCGTTTTATTTTGATATAACAATTTGCACGCAGTCACTTTGAACAATGGCATAAAGCTGTTCTAAACATCATTCAATGTAAACTATGATAATCGTAATTAATAATCGCAATTATAATTTCAAGGCAATAATCGACAATTATGATTTTTGTCATAATCGTGCAGCCCTACCTCCCACCTTACATAGACCCAAACCTACCCAACTCCACCCATCAGATCTGATCCGACTCCGCCCCCTGGATCTCGTGTACTGCAGTTAGGTGCTACTGGTTTGAACGAATCATTTTGATTCTTTCCTGAGTGAATCAGCCGTTTGAATGAATTTCTTTGATTCTTTCCTCAGTGAATCAGCCGTTTTGAACAAATCAGTTATATGGACTCGTTTATTAAGACAGTGTTTTGTGCCACTTACTGGCGGTTTTAGTTTCATATTTAAAGTACCTTTTTATTAAAACATTAAAATTAAAAATCAGTTCAAATTGTAATATTTAATAAAAAAAACTCAGTTAATTAAAATATTAATGTCTGTCTCACACACACAATCAGGACAATATCATCTAATCATCATACCTGACCCATACCTAATGAACGGTGCTCATTTATATTTCTTCAAGTTGGCTGTAGAGAGTGCAGGAACCCTGGAGATGATGAGTCAGCATCATACACTTAATCTCTGCAGCCCAACACACACACACACACACACACACACACAACGCGACCAACACTATCTGTTCACACTGATAATCATTACGCTGAGTGTTGGAGTGCTGATTGGTCATGTAGTGATGTCATGATGAGTGTGTGTTTCCTGAGCGCGTGTCAGAGACGCAGATCCCCACGCAGCGCTACGGCAGACGCCCCTACGGAGTCGGGCTGCTCATCGCAGGATATGATGTGAGTACCGGAGACGCTGTGAGTGTGTGTGTGTGTGTGTGTTGAGCGCTGTATCTGATGAGCTGTGTGTGTGTGTGTGTGTGTGTGAGCAGGACATGGGTCCGCACATCTTCCAGACGTGTCCGTCTGCTAACTACTTCGACTGCAAGGCCATGTCGATCGGCGCGCGCTCGCAGTCGGCCCGCACTTACCTGGAGCGCCACATGGAGGCCTTCCTGGACTGTACGTCTCACACACACACAGGCCTGGTGTTTACTAATGCTCCGTGATCTGATCTGAGTGTGTGTGTGTGTGTGTGTGCGCAGGTAACCTGAACGATCTGGTGCAGCACGGCCTGCGGGCGCTGAGAGAGACTCTTCCTGCTGAACAGGATCTGACCACCAAGGTTTGATATTCCTCTCACACACACACACACACACACACACACACACACACAGAGCAGCTCCTGATGTGTTCACTCCTGCAGAACGTGTCGATCGGGATCGTGGGTCAGGGGTTGGAGTTCACCATCTATGATGACGACGAGGTGTCGCGCTTCCTGGAGGGCCTGGAGGAGCGGCCGCAGAGACGGGTGAGTGTGTGTGTGTCCTGTCCTGCGCAGGGGTTCCTGCAGTGCCTGATGGTGTGTGTGTGAGTGAGTGAGTGAGTGTGTGTGTGTGAGTGTGTGTGAGAGTGTGTGTGTGTGAGTCCTGTCCTGCGCAGGGGTTCCTGCAGTGCCTGATGGTGTGTGTGTGAGTGAGTGAGTGAGTGTGTGTGTGTGAGTGTGTGTGAGAGTGTGTGTGTGTGAGTCCTGTCCTGCGCAGGGGTTCCTGCAGTGCCTGATGGTGTGTGTGTGAGTGTGTGTGTGTGTGAGTGTGAGTGTGAGTGTGTGTGTGTGTGTGTGTGTGTGTCCTGTCCTGCACAGGGGTTCCTGCAGTGCCTGATGGTGTGTGTGTGTGTGTGTGTCGCAGGTGGGCCCGCCGGCGGACGAAGCGGCTCCAGCCGTGCCTGAGGAACCCATGGAGCACTAACACACACTCCTGCACTGCTGACCCCAGATCATCTGTACTCGTCACACATTACACAATGAAACCTTCATTTTCTATCTGTGAGTGTTAGAGGAATAAAACTGTTCTTGTTTCTTTCTGAGTGTGTGTGTGTGTGTGTGTGTGACTGTATATCAGATCTCCATCACCAGCCTGACATCATCACAGTTCCTTTAGCAGAAACGGCTCCGTTCCACGTTTCCACATGAGCTCCGCGCGATCCGTTAGCGTATGAATTATTTGCACGTGTTCCTGGAAGAGACTGGAGACGGCAGTGGAGGCGTTTCAGGAGTTCAGGAACACCGACTCTGATGTAGAGGTCACATGATCACAGCAACATTTACCGTCACGAAAGAGTCGAGCGCTAGAATCCAGTCAAGCGCTTCAGGAACGACATGTGGGCGGGGCTTGACTGTGTCTGTGAGGAGCTGATTGGATGGTTGTGGCTGATCTCCTGTGACTGACAGGTTGCCCCGCCCACATCATCAGAGAAGAGGATCTTATTCTGAGTCAAGATCAGGGATCGTCCGCTCGAAGGCTGCCGAGGCAGAGCTCATGGTGCGTTCTATTATACCCAACGAACCGTCTCGGACCTCGGATTTGACGTCACGTCCACACTTCAAGCGTTCTATTTGTTTTACGCATCCGAGTCGGAGAAAAAAATGGACGCCACCCGGAAAGCTGTTATAATGGTAGCGCTGGCCGAGTACCAGGCACTTACATTAAAACGAAAAAATATTATGACTACACCTTATTAAAACGCAGCCATTTGAACTTGAAAATGTTCACTTTATTAATGTTTTTCATGTTAATCTTCTGTTAGCAACGCTAGCAACGTCAGTAATTGCACTCACAACAACCGATTCCCATACCTACAGGGGACGCAGTAATACGAGTGATTATAACCGTCATTTAAAATACCAAAGCGGTTCAAAAACAATTCATTCTTACAAGTCACAGGGCGCAGCCATCTTGAATTCCGAAACGGAATTCTTTCTCGGTGTCCTCACGGTTGTCCGACGTCCGAGAGGAAAAATCCGAGGAAAGGGGGCGTGTTGCTAGGCAACGTCTGTCGTCCGAATCGGATCTCCGAGACGGATGAATAATAGAACGCACCATATGTCTCTTCATCATATATACCAGATATAGTTGCCTACAGGTCGGTCCGCATTCATCATGTGTACAATGAACCCTTCATCTGATGATGATGAACCACAGAAACACACATCAGACGTGAGGTTTATTAACACATTATTATAGCAGAATATGATACACAGTCATGCAAGCATGCCAAGAAAATATCAATAAATAATAAAGGCATCAGTTACAGAAGTGATGAAGCCATAAACTAAAGTCATGATGCCGTTTACTGAGAGGATGTGAACGCCAGAGCCCTTTATTGCCTTCAGAGCTGTTGAACATTACGGGTCAGTCTCTTTCCGTGACGCAGTACATGTATATAATAATATTTGAGGAATGTGCTAAATGAATATGTGCTGTTTTTCTGAGTGTACATTATAAGGAAACAGGAGACGCATCATCAGTAGTGCTCATCAACACGGTGTTCCTCCGCCTGACGGCGCTGTGCTCTGGGCCAGGCGTGATGTCACTTCCTGTCTGTGGCTGTGATTGGCTGATGTTGTGCTGGTGTTCATCAGGATCATCTCTGGTGTGTGTGTGTGTGCGTGTGCTCAGGTGAGGGGAATGAACACCACAGAAGTGCTCGTCACGGCTGAGGTCAGAGGGATCTGTGAGAACAGTAAACACACACTCATTTCCCAGCACACCACACTGTTTCTTTTATTTCTCTTACGCCAGTCTCCTTACTTCCAGCTTCACCACAGTAATCGTCACACTAAACCACTTCCTGTCTTAAATCAGCTGATTCTGAACACCAGCACAGGTTTAACCCAACACACACACGTATCACTCATTAAACACTCAACAGGAGCATTATGCTGTCATTTAGGAAAAGTGAACATTTATTACAAAGTGACGTTAGTAATGAGAAATGTGTGTCTGACCGTCCCACTGCTGGCCGTCGGCTGGGATTGAGTCCACGAGCCGACCCTCCTGCATCACACGCGCGATCTCCTGCAGCTGCTGCAGTAACTGCTGCTCCTCCACCACTGCAGCACTGCACACACACACACACACACACACGTCACACTCACTACACACACACATACGTCACACTCACTGCACACACACAGAGACAGATATCCAGACCTGGCTGTACCGACGCTGGCTGATGAAATAATTCTCTCGATCACGTCCTTCGTCTCGTTCAGTCTGTCCTGCAGCTGAGCCAACTCGAAATCAGCTGAGAGAGAGAGAGAGACAGAGAGTGTGTGTGTGAGAGAGAGAGACAGACAGATAGATGGATCACATCATAAACAGTAGACAGTAAAATATTGTCCATTATTAATCCCTTACAAGATCTCCCCCCTTAATCCAATAGCTCCAAAAAAAAATATATATATATATATGATATACACCTGCAACTGGAGATGCTGATGTCCCATCTCCAGTTGCAGGTGCTCAGGGTAAACCCTTCATTTAAAGAGGGTCCGAGTCTTGTAAAAGGAAGTGAACCAGAGAGTGAGTCTCGTAACTTTACAGCAGAAGATGTCTTGTCTCCCCCTGTCGTGTTGGAGGAGAAGCATGCCTCACTTCAGAAGGATGACCCGTCGGGCCAGGACTGTAAAAGCGATGACTTTACGATCTCGGGATCTCTATAACTGGATCAGGGTCAATATTACTGTTGAGAGCTTTTTAAGCTCTGAAATACATTAGACCAAGAGGTTACCAGCTGCGGGCAAGTCCAAAAGATGTGCAGATGATTGGCAGGTCAATGTTTAGACGATTACAGGCAGCACTCTTGTCCAGAAACATTTCTGCCGATTTGGCTGATTGGTTACGTCATGTACCTGGATCTAGATGTTACACCACAGATCCTCTGTAATAGTAACACCAACGTCTTGCTCCCAGATCTCTTTGAGAGTGTCATTAAGGTCTGAATTAATATGATTTATTAAATTATAAATGACTGAGAATAAATGCCTGTGGTTGACATTTAAAGCAAGAAGTGATTTTTGTTTCAGGGGGGCGTTTGGGAAAGTAGGGGAACTGCTTCTGTAAGAAAGAAACGAAATAAGTGATGACTGGGTAGGTTATACTCTTTAGATAAAGAGACAAATACACCCTCCTCATAGAGGTCATCGATCTGGAGAAGGCCATTAGATGACCAGAGGCGAAACGCAGGGTCAATTATTGAGGATGGGCATAAGTGGAGCCTCTATGTAAACCGTCATGTTTCCTAAATTGAACCCAAATGTTAAGGGTGCTAGTGACTACTGGATTATCTGAAACTCTGTTTACAACTAGGAGAAGCTGAGAACAGACGACCGAAGAGAGAGAGAGAGAGCTTTTCACTGATGATGGCGTTTCCGTATGTACCAGGGAGGACTGATGGAGTATCTTTGTTCCTGCTTGGAGAAGCTTTACGATCCATCTGCACCCCACGCTTTACCCCACGCTTTACACCACTGCACCCCACGCTTTACACCACTGCACCCCACGCTTTACACCACTGCACCCCACGCTTTACACCACTGCACCCCACGCTTTACACCACTGCACCCCACGCTTTACACCACTGCACCCCACGCTTTACACCACTGCACCCCACGCTTTACACCACTGCACCCCACGCTTTACACCACTGCACCCCACGCTTTACTCCACTGCACCCCACGCTTTACACCACTGCACCCCACGCTTTACTCCACTGCACCCCACGCTTTACACCACTGCACCCCACGCTTTACACCACTGCATCCCACGCTTTACTCCACTGCATCCCACGCTTTACACCACTGCACCCCACGCTTTACACCACTGCATCCCACGCTTTACACCACTGCACCCCACGCTTTACACCACTGCACCCCACGCTTTACACCACTGCACCCCACGCTTTACACCACTGCACCCCACGCTTTACACCACTGCATCCCACGCTTTACACCACTGCACCCCACGCTTTACTCCACTGCACCCCACGCTTTACTCCACTGCATCCCACGCTTTACACCACTGCACCCCACGCTTTACACCACTGCATCCCACGCTTTACACCACTGCACCCCACGCTTTACTCCACTGCACCCCACGCTTTACACCACTGCACCCCACGCTTTACTCCACTGCACCCCACGCTTTACACCACTGCACCCCACGCTTTACACCACTGCATCCCACGCTTTACACCACTGCACCCCACGCTTTACTCCACTGCACCCCACGCTTTACACCACTGCACCCCACGCTTTACACCACTGCACCCCACGCTTTACACCACTGCACCCCACGCTTTACACCACTGCACCCCACGCTTTACACCACTGCACCCCACGCTTTACACCACTGCACCCCACGCTTTACACCACTGCACCCCACGCTTTACACCACTGCACCCCACGCTTTACTCCACTGCACCCCACGCTTTACACCACTGCACCCCACGCTTTACTCCACTGCACCCCACGCTTTACACCACTGCACCCCACGCTTTACACCACTGCATCCCACGCTTTACTCCACTGCATCCCACGCTTTACTCCACTGCACCCCACGCTTTACTCCACTGCACCCCACGCTTTACACCACTGCACCCCACGCTTTACTCCACTGCACCCCACGCTTTACTCCACTGCACCCCACGCTTTACTCCACTGCACCCCACGCTTTACACCACTGCACCCCACGCTTTACTCCACTGCACCCCACGCTTTACTCCACTGCACCCCACGCTTTACACCACTGCACCCCACGCTTTACACCACTGCACCCACGCTTTACACCACTGCACCCCACGCTTTACTCCACTGCACCCCACGCTTTACTCCACTGCACCCCACGCTTTACTCCACTGCACCCCACGCTTTACTCCACTGCACCCCACGCTTTACTCCACTGCACCCCACGCTTTACACCACTGCACCCCACGCTTTACACCACTGCACCCCACGCTTTACTCCACTGCACCCCACGCTTTACACCACTGCACCCCACGCTTTACTCCACTGCACCCCACGCTTTACACCACTGCACCCCACGCTTTACACCACTGCACCCCACGCTTTACACCACTGCACCCCACGCTTTACTCCACTGCACCCCACGCTTTACTCCACTGCACCCCACGCTTTACTCCACTGCACCCCACGCTTTACACCACTGCACCCCACGCTTTACTCCACTGCACCCCACGCTTTACACCACTGCACCCCACGCTTTACACCACTGCACCCCACGCTTTACTCCACTGCACCCCACGCTTTACACCACTGCACCCCACGCTTTACACCACTGCACCCCACGCTTTACACCACTGCACCCCACACTTTACTCCACTGCACCCCACGCTTTACTCCACTGCACCCCACGCTTTACTCCACTGCACCCCACGCTTTACTCCACTGCACCCCACGCTTTACTCCACTGCACCCCACACTTTACTCCACTGCACCCCACACTTTACTCCACTGCACCCCACGCTTTACTCCACTGCACCCCACGCTTTACTCCACTGCACCCCACGCTTTACTCCACTGCACCCCACGCTTTACTCCACTGCACCCACGCTTTACTCCACTGCACCCCACGCTTTACTCCACTGCACCCCACACTTTACTCCACTGCACCCCACACTTTACTCCACTGCACCCCACGCTTTACTCCACTGCACCCCACGCTTTACTCCACTGCACCCCACGCTTTACACCACTGCACCCCACGCTTTACTCCACTGCACCCCACGCTTTACTCCACTGCACCCCACGCTTTACACCACTGCACCCCACGCTTTACTCCACTGCACCCCACGCTTTACACCACTGCACCCCACGCTTTACTCCACTGCACCCCACGCTTTACACCACTGCACCCACGCTTTACTCCACTGCACCCCACGCTTTACTCCACTGCACCCCACGCTTTACTCCACTGCACCCCACGCTTTACTCCACTGCATCCCACGCTTTACACCACTGCACCCCACGCTTTACTCCACTGCACCCCACGCTTTACTCCACTGCACCCCACGCTTTACACCACTGCACCCCACACTTTACACCACTGCACCCCACGCTTTACTCCACTGCACCCCACGCTTTACTCCACTGCACATGCACTGGTGATGTTAGGCTTGGATGCAGCTGTTCGGCCATGGAAACCCATTCCATGAAGCTCTGAGCACTGTTCTTGAGTATGGAGGTCTGTAGCTGTAGTGAGGAAATAGACTTATTACACGGTAAGTAGAAGCGTCAACATGCATCAGTGCCAACTGTGGAAGTGACTGGAACACCTGAATTCAATGATTTGGAGGGCTGTCCCAATACTTTTGGCAATATAGTGTATGTAAGTTTGGTATATGTAAAAAAATTGGGTAGACAGACAGACAGACAGACAGACAGACAGACAGACAGACAGACAGACAGACAGATAGATGCGAGTTCATACTTATTTTCCTCTGGGTGTTTTGTGATCTGACAGCGGTGAAGCGGTTTTCTGCAGGTTGTGTTGTTTTGCCCTTTGATGTGATCTGTAACACACACAGAGACACACACACACACATACATTGTATACTTTATTTGATTCCACATTTCAAATTTCATTAGGAATTTTTTTAAATAATCCAACAGATTACAACAAAGCAGCACATTATGGATTATACAGTTCTAAGGGTACAAGAAGCATCGCCTTTTCCACATAAGCATGCGTCCTATGGTTGCTGAGATTGAACAGTACTTTGCTACTGTTTGGCCCCTGTTTTAGAAATCCAGTCAATGCAAATCCACAGGTCGCCAGTACATGTAAATGACCTACACTACCAAACACTAGCACAATAAACTGGCACCTAGGTGTACCCAGAGGGGTGCAGTCCTCTACGACTGCATGTGACCCCTACAGGTCGGTAGTGGGACCTCCACTTCAGTTCAGAGCCTATCCTTCAACATGGGTCGTTTCAGTCTGATGACGCACCTCATCCCTGTGCCCATCCATCCAGCTTTCCATTGGTCTTACACACACACACACACACACACTCCTGTCACCTGAGCTCCGCCGACACCTGTGTGATGCTGCAGATGTGGTCATGTACCTCACCTTGAAAAGAATGTAGAGGATGTAGAGTAAGATGGCGAAGCCGTAGATGGGGATGATCTGTCCCGCGAGATTGGACTTTCCCCCGGTCCCGACCCCTCTGACTCCGGCTCCGGCTCCGGCTCCTCTGGCCTCGGGATTATGAGCTCTGGACCGCCGCGGCTCCTCCGACACTGAAGCCCGGGGGGGCATCGGCGGAAACTGGCCTGAAGGTCCTGCGTCACACACACACACACACACACACACGGTTGATATTGCCACAGAAACTTTGAACTCTCTCTTTTCCAGCACTTTAGATGCAGTTGCTCCATGGCGCTTAAAGAAGATTAAAGAAAGTAGTCCAACGCCATGGTACATCGAGCACACTTACACACACACACACACACACACACACACACACACATGACCAGCGCCTAATGATCTTTGCAACGGAAGTGGATCTGTAAGCCTAAACACTCACTATTACTGTAATCAGCAGCTGTGAAACAATCAATATTGGTAAATATTGTATAGATGAAGGATACTTGACAGTATTGTATAGATACTTAACACTCTCTCACTCTCACACACACACACACACACTTAAACACACACTGATCACGTGATTCACAATCGCAGTTATGTCATCCGATAATGACCTAAGCTCATGCATAGTTCTCCACACACACACACACACACACCGCTCTTTATGTGTGCATCAACAGAAAAGTATTGTAGGTACAACGTATTTATCCATTAATAATCCCTATTTATTATATAGGTGTGTTTTGCTAAGAACATTGCGTTCGATTCATGAAAGACACTAGTATAAGACATAGTATTTTCTTCTTGCCCAGTAAACAGCACTTATTTGAAGGGAATGCAGGCAGTATCGATAAAGAGAATAGATGATGCACCTTCTCCGTCTCTCTTCGCTCGCGACAGCAGCATCTTCGGCAGCAGCAGCGCGACGCACAGCGCCACACACGACACCACGGCGAGCTTCTGGACGCTGGAAATAGACATGTTTAATCCTGTCCGCTGTCTGGGAGACTCAATACTGCACCTGCTTCACTATCTAAATAAACACAGTCCAATATAAACACAGCATCCTCCTCACTTCCGGAGCGCTGCCATAGAAACCACATCGGCTGCCTCACAGTGGGCGGGGCTAAGGACTGTGGTCACGTGAGAACGGTTACTTTGGTCAGCGCCTCTGATCAGCGCTACTCTGATGCTTTTTTTGGTAACAGCCACTAGATGGCGCTTCGGTAGCGCGGCCGCCATATCGGGGTGAAAATTCCAACTGGAGTTACTGGACAACAGCACAGATAACAGTTTTTTGAGGTAGTTTTTTTCTTGCATTAGTGAGTATTTCCATTGTATGCAACTTTACACTTTTACTACTATTATTAGTTACCAACTGCACTTGGCCTGAAATATATTTTTGATGTTTTAATCCCCTGGATCATGCTACAAACATGATGATCATTGATGCGCTGTGTCCTATAACTAATTGCCACTTTGGACATTGGCTGTGTTTTTTTGTTTGTACGGTCATTAATATAAGAGTACTGCAAAAAAAACAAAAAAAAAAAAAACACAACTGTTAGTGTTTACTGTAAAGCTATTCTGCTGTTATATATTTTTTGTCAAACATCTACATTTTAGTACAACATTTATTTGCTGAATTAATTTATTTCATTGATAACTTATTTTTGTAAGTAACGTTATGTGTACCTCCCGGGAAACGGTCTAATGTTATTATAACTTTATGAACTGATATCACTTTATAAAGTGATCAGTTCATAAAGTTATAATAACATTACACTTTATCACTTTATTCTAAGTCACTTTATTATCACTTTATTATTTCTATTCTAATAGGCTAACATATCACTTTATTCTAAGAATCTTTATTCTAAGAATAAAGTGATATCAGTTCATAAAGTTATAATAACATTACACCGTTTCCCGGGAGGTACACATGACGTTACAATTTACAAAAATAAGTTATCAATGAAATAAATTAATTCAGCAAATAAATGTTGTACTAAAATGTAAATGTTTGACAATAAATATATAACAGCAATAGAATAGCTAGTAATAGAATTTAAAAAAAAATAGAGTAATATAATGAATTAAATCCTTGAACTTCCCTGTCTCAAGTTATGTGGGGGTAAAAGCCCGGTTAAGTAGCAACTTCTTTTTAATTGCTATAAAGTTAACTGTTGTGAGTTAAATAATCACCTAGCCTAATTATTTCAACCTAAAAATGATCTCTGCACTGGACTAAATATAAGTATATTATATGACTGCCGAGTCGCTTTCACCCCGAAATGGCGGAAGCGTAGGGCCGCTGCTGGCGCTGGTGTTGCAATGGAACATTCTATTGGCTTTCACTTCTTGTCAACAACGTTCTTTGTACTAGTTTTTATTTAATCACCCTGGGACATGTTTCCTTGTTTTTAATCTCTGGAACCAGTCGTTGAAAAAATTATAAAATAATTGAATATGCAAATATATTATGTCTGTTGTACGTCATTTGATATTCAGCAGCAAAGAACTTATATTGACTTCTATAATATTTGCCTGCAGGGATAAACAGAGGAAACCAGTTACACAACAAACAAACGCCTAAAACTAAAAGACAGTTTTTTTAACATTAGATGTGCTCACTTAAGAAATGTCTGTTTTATTAGACTGAGAAATAAATCTAAAACACGCAATTTAATGTTTAAATCATAGACTGGACATTTTTTTAAAGGTTTAAAAAGAATAATAAAGAAAATTCAGTCTTGCAGTATAGCAGTTCGGCCTCCCGCCCGCTGGCGGCGCGCTCTCGCTGCAATCTCGCCCTTAGCGACAGACATGTATTATCTCGCGAGATTACAGGGGGCACTTCCTCTTTGCGTTCTCGCAGCCATGGTAGGTGCTCACGTAGAGTTCTCCGACTGTCTGTAACACATCAATCTTTCTTAATCCTTTATTAAATGGTGCCAAAACATATTTATAACTTGTAAATATGGTTTCCATATGTGTTGAAGTATGATTATCAGTCAGTATTGTGCATGTGTGTGGGATATAGAGGTGTGTTAGCGGCATTGTTGAGGTGTAGCGGCTGGTCTCGGCAGAGCTGGAGTTCGCCTCATGTCGAAGCGCGAAAACTGCAGTAAATACACGAGTGTGATCAACATGTAATCTCTTCACAGCCGACCAAGAAGTCCAAGACTAGGAAGCTGCGCGGGCACGTCAGCCACGGGCACGGGCGCATCGGTCAGTAACGCTCGTGAGACACAGTGATGATGTTTAGCGGTGGGTAATGTGGTATTAATGTGTGTGTGTGTGTGTGTGTGTGCAGGTAAGCACAGAAAGCATCCCGGAGGCCGCGGTAACGCCGGAGGAATGCATCATCACAGGATCAACTTCGACAAATAGTGAGTAAAGCGCATCAACATCAGTCACGTGTGCAGCGCGAGCCGTGAACGCGCCTCTCCCCGAGTCTTCAGTGTTTATTAGTGTGTGTAGTGTTCATATGCAGCTCGTCCAGTGTGTATCATGATCCCTCTTCACTGCTAATATCAGGAGTGTGTGCTCCAGGCGAGGGAACACACCTGAGAGGCGATACACAGGACGTGTGTGTGTTCGTGCAGTCATACACACTGCTCTCTGGATGCTGTCAATCAAAGAGTTCAGTCCGCTGTACTTTAGTGCTTTATACACTACTGATCATCTCGAAGACGCTTCACACACACAAACAGGACAGTGTCAGTCAGTGATGTGAACTTCATCAGACGTGAGCGGGTCCGACATCAGCCGCTGGGTCGAGTCCTTGCAGAGTTCAGTGTTGAGTACTGTATTATATTAGTAATATAATAACTGGATATTATGCTGAGGACGTTATCTGGAGCTCAGCCACCTGTAATCACAGGAAGATTTGTTCTCGTCACATTTAATGTTTATTAATTAGAGTAAACAATGAAAACACTTTCTGCTTCAAAGTTCTGTTCATATCATCATGAAACGAGTAAATGTGGTTTTGTCTGTTAAATTATAATAATGAACAAACCCGAAGCCTGTAAATACGAGACATTGTGACTAGTGATGAGGTTTGGGTCTGAGATCGCTGAGGAATCGGGACGTCAAGAGGATTATTAGATCATGTCACGGTCCGTAACACCCCGTATCGCTTCCACAGTCGGAAAAAGTCTCAATTTAAGTGAATTGGAACAATTTTATGAAACACTGCCAAACTCCACTACCAAATGTGCAGGAAAAAAAAAATATATATATCTATATATTCAGTCAAGGAACATACATTGAGCATCATTTTGATTTTGAAAAATAAAAATCTGAAATTATACAATTAAAATAGGTTAATATCTATTCTATAATAATAATATAATGACTTGTAAACCATTAGCTGAGAATTATCATTTATAGCATTTATTCATCTTGGTTTGGGTTCATATAATGTTTTTTTTATTTATTTATTCAGAGGGGACAGTGTACATTAATCAACATTAAACTATGTAAATGTCCCAGAGTAGGCTAAAAGAGTTAATGTTCATCAGTAGTCCCCCAGCCAGCTGTAAACACAGTAACCTTAAAGAAAATCACAAATTACATGCAAAACATTATGGTTAATCATTAAGGTCGGTGACCTGACAGGTGATGGGCAGGTTCACATTGGTATGGTTGTGCATCAGTGTGTTCAGTCCTCCTCCTCCTCAGGGTTCAGGGTTCAGTCCTCCTCCTCAGGGTTCAGGGTTCAGTCCTCCTCCTCCTCAGGGTTCAGCAGAGGACAGGAACTGCTGCTAAACAGCCCAATGTTAGAGTTCCCGTTCAGGGAAACTGTCCTGCTAACAGAGACCCCGTTTACACCTGGTATTAATATGCGATCTGTATCCAGATAAGTTATCCGGATAATAAGTGTTCTGATCTTACCTTTGCGTTTACACCTTGTATTTTTAATGCGTTCTCGTTATCCACATTGAGTTCAGATCTCTGTCCTCCAGAGTGACACCTGTGCGTGAGCACTGAGGTGGCGGGATATGGTGCGTTCACACCGGACGCGAATAGCGCGTCAGGCGCGAGTGATTTCAATGCAAAGACGCGTTACACGCGTAAAAAATTTCTGCGGCGCGAATGAGGCGTTGTTCGACTACATCTGCGAGAAGTTGCGGCCTCTGCTGTCACGGAGAAATACTCTGTCGTCGGTGTCTGTGGAGAAGAGAGTTGCAGCTGCGCTTTGGTATGCCACAGGGTCAGGACAATCTCTCGTCTTTGGGATAAGTACAGCAACTGTATGTTGTGTTGTATAATGTTGTGGAACAGAAACAACCAGAGATATATTTATAAGCTATCATTTTATTGCCATCACAGCTTTCCAACAGTCCTGCGTATGATTCTACATTGATTAAAAAAGAAAATCAAATGCGTTTAAATGGTAATTATTTTATACGGATCATAAATCATTTATTTATAATTCAGATGAGAATAAAGTTAGGGTTAATTAAAATTAAGGAAAACAAATATATTGATCTGAAATATAGCAAATTAATTTTACATTCATTCAAGTACAATTACCAAACATATATCAAGGTCATTTTGTCTTTTTATTAACTTAATTAATAAACTAATTATATAAAACTATTGTCAGTGCACTACCAATAAACTGGTTCTATGTCTTTATTAATAAAACTTAAACAACTTAAAAAATACGAGGCTTAAGACATTTATAAAAATGGCTTTGCATTTTTGTTTTGCTTTTCACTCCATTGTACCGAATCGTAACGAACCGTCTGAATGTCTGAACCAAGGTATGAATCCGACCCAACCGTGACTTCTGTACCGTTCCACCCCTAATGCAGTTTCATTATTATTCATTACTATCCAGAGAGCGGCTTACTATAAATAATTTGTGCGACCAAATCATGTTTTGCGCCAGTAACTGAAAAAGTTAGTAGCGCAAATGCCACCAGTGGAAAAGGTCGGTGTAGTTCCCTGCTTATACTGTACGAGCGGTGTGTGTGTGTGTGTGTGTGTGTGTTCTGTCCTCGACCCGTCACAGATGACCTTCTGCTTTTTAAAAGCATCACTAAATATGATTTATAAGCTGTTTAAAAAAACAAACAAAGAAACTCCGGACATTTTCTTTGTCCGTACAAAAATGCCGATATACTACAGAATTATATTTGTTGGCCAGTGCTTGAGTGTCGGTGTGGGGATTGCGCATAATTTAATTTCATGGTGTTTCTTGTATAACGACTTGTTTGTTTGTTTTATGAACTGTTTTGAGAACTGGAAATGCTCAATTCATGCATTCAAATCTGTAGATATTAATAAATGAAGATGATTAAATTGCATAGTAAGTTATTCTCCCGCTCCACAGTCGTTAGATCCCCATGTGACCCGTGTAAGGGGAATCCCCCAGTTTAGAGGACTAAAGCAGTGTGTGTGTGTGTGTGTGTGAACACGAGAGACGAGCGGCTCCACACAACTGGAGATTAGCAGACCTGTGACGGGTGTGTTAGTCAGGAACTGACCCCAGATCAGGATCCGCCACTGATGCCAGACGTGTGTGTGTTCTCAGTCACCCAGGGTACTTCGGGAAGGTGGGCATGAGGCATTACCATCTGAAGAAGAACACTGTGTTCTGCCCCACCATCAACCTGGACAAGCTGTGGACGCTAGTCAGCGAACAGACGCGGGTCAACTACGGCCAGAAGCCCGACGGCCCCGCGCCCGTCATCGACGTCGTACGCGCGGTGAGTCTCACACACACACACACACACACAGACCCGACGGCCCCTTAAAGGTATACTCCCCTGTTTTAGGAAATTTCTCATTTCCCATCTCCCCCAGAGTTCAACTGTTGAGCTATATAGCGTTATTGAATCCATTCAGCCGATCTCCGGTTCTGGCGGCACCACTTTTAGCATAGCTTAGCATACATCACTGAAGTGCACAAGACCATTAGCATTTCTCAAAAAAAAAGAAAAAATGACCAAAGAGTTTCGATATTTTTCCAATTTGAATCTTGACTCTTCCACGGCTGGGAACTATACTCTCATTCCTGCGTAATAATCAGGACACTTCACTGCCGTACCGCGAGTGCAGCCGGCGTATGACTACACGAACTTAGTCCCGGTCACGTTGGAAGCTGGGCACTATTTTCAGGCGCTGTGTCGTATCATTACGCCGGCTGCACTCGCGGTACGGCAGTGAAGTGTCTGGATTATTACTGATTATTAGGAATGAGAGTATAGTTCCACATCAGCCTAGAAAATCACAACTTTACGTTTCCCGTCGGTCTTAGTGCACATGATGAAAATACAGAAGATTTAAATAGGAAAAATATCAAAACTCTTGTTTTTTTTTTTTTTTTTTTTTGTTTTTTTTTGAGAAATGCTAATGGTCTTGTGCACTTCAATGATGTATGCTAAGCTATGCTAAAAGTGGTGCCGCCAGAACCGGAGATCGGCTGAATGGATTCAATACAGGGTTACCGCGAGTCCTTAAAGTCTTAAATTAGATATTTATAATTTAAGGCCATTAAAAGTCTTTTTAGGTATGAAAGGTCTTAAGTTTTAGATGACACTTCGACTTAGTCCAATCTTAATGTTTTCCAAATTAAAACCATCTAATTTGCGTACGTATTAATTTATCTTTCTTTGTGGATTTGCTTGTTGACGTGACAATTCGCGTCACATTCGCGGCAGAATAACGTCCGTCTCCTGCACGTGAGACAGGAGAGGAGGAGAGAAGAAAGTTGGCAAATGTCAGTTGAGTCGCAAGTTAATTCTTTATGTGCGTAGAGGTGTGCGATGTGTATCGTCTGTTAGTATATTGTATTGTTTTAACGATGGACGAGGCGAGTGTGAGCTGACATCGCATTTGTCTCTCGTGTTTTCACGGCGTGATGTGTGCAGTTATAGGCATAGACATGTATTTATTATGGTTATAGGTATGTCCCCAAATTAGTTTTTGCCTTATATTTATATCATGTTGTTATATTAGAATATCACATCAGTAGAGTGCCGTTTTCCCGTGCACAAGTGTGATATTTATGTTGTACAATAGTTAAATTAAAAATAAATTGACATTGTGAGTTAGTTTTTAGCCATAACATTGTCTATTGTTTGTTTTCCCTTTATTTCACCGACTAGAATTTCAAAATGAAACCGTAGCAGAGTCTCAATGCAACAGACAGCGATGATCTCTTGAAGGAAATCCGCGTCTTGAACGAGTCATTTTAACGATTCAATCACTTGCTGCTTTTCCGTTTGAACAAATCGGTTGAATGAATGACTCCCTCAACTCGCTTTTTAAGACAGCGATTTGCCGCCGCCTACTGGCGGTTTTAGTTTCATATTAAAAGTGAAACGTTAAAATTAGAAATCATTTCACATTTAAATATTGATTTAAAAAAAACTTATTGCTTGATGTATGCAATTGTAATTGGAGTGTATATATTAATGCCACTTCTAAGGCTGCTTCTGCGTCTACTCTGCACTGCAATGATGGATTTTTGATTGAATGATTTAATTTGACTGTTAACAGTGGTACTGTATAATTATTGTGTAATTAAATATTATTGTATAAATAAGTATAATTACTGTATAATTGACATAAAAAGTGATGCATAACTCTAAATAAGTTTAGGAAAAAAATCTCCATAACTAGGTGAAAATGCCCCTGGAAACCAAATTAAGGTGGCAAATATTGCACATTAATTAATAATTTCTGTCACTGCTGTGAACTGACCACTGCATAGAATATGAAAAATATAAATATCTTCGCGAGTCTCCTGTCAACAGGCCTAAACCAGCCATGGCACCAGCACAAAAACACAATCAGTAAAATATCAACTAATTATTAACAAAACATTGAAAATATATAGATATATTTTTGTCAATATTGCACACCCCTAATGTATGGTATTAATTTCTTCAGGTCTTAAAAAGCCTTAAATTTTACTTTAAAAAGTGTGCAGGAACCCTACAATAACGCTAAAGCTCAACAGTTGAACTCTGGGGGAGATGGGAAATGAGCCTCTTTCCTAAAACAGTGGAGTATCGCTTTAAGATTTACATTGATATTAAGATTTTAACTGAGCTTCAGTGTTGGGTTACTCTTGTGCTCGCTCGCTCTGGTTAATTCATAAATGTGTATTTTCTTCCCCATCTGTTTGTCCAGCCCATTAAACTCAGTCTGTGGCGCCATCTTGTGGACATTGATGATATCGCATTGGTTCATTTCCTGTCCTCAAGCACACCGCTAATCTGTTTATTTTAAACTCACACATTCTGCATTGATTAAAACATAAAATAAAATGTTTTATTGGTGGTATTGTGTAGAGAAATAAATTATAATTCAGATGAGAAAGTTAGTGTTGATTTTAAAATTAAGGAAAGAAAATATTGATCTGAAATTTAGCAAATTTTAAACTCTTTCAGGTACTATTATCAAACATATCTCAAGGTATTTTTATCTTTATTAAATTAATATCTAATTGAATAAATTAGTCCCAACTGTCTTAATCAGGGGTTCATTCACTTTCTCCATATTCCCACTGTGTGTGTGTGCTCTGACCGATGGTGTGTGTGTGTGTGTGTGTGCGCGCTCTGACCGATGGTGTGCTGTGTGTTTCAGGGCTATTTCAAAGTGCTGGGCAAGGGCAAGCTGCCGAAGCAGCCGGTGATCGTGAAGGCCAAGTTCTTCAGCCGGCGCGCGGAGGAGAAGATCAAGGGAGTGGGCGGAGCCTGTGTGCTGACCGCTTAAACGTTAATAAACCTGATCAAACTCTCTCTGTGCTCTCGTCTCTGATCTACAGCTGTGTGTGTGTGTGTGTGTGTGTGTGTGTTAATCCAGTGGTTCTCAAACTTTTTCAGGAGGAGGCCCCCTTGTGTAGGGTGAATCATTTTGTGGCCCCCCCAAAAGAAAACTCATAACGAAAACATCCTCAAAATTACAATTGTACTTACAAATTTTAGATTGTACCAAAAACAAATGAATATTTACAATGCTGGAACAACAGTTCTGTTTGTAGCTTTATGTCTTTGAATATACAAAATTAGTTAAATTGTACATTTCATTAAATATAACAATTTTTTATAAAAAATGTTTTTGACAGTTAACAATAATATTGTCTGAAAAGTGCAACAAAAGTATTGAATACTGAACATTTGTGATGTTCATAGTAAAACACTGAAAAATTAATTTGCTGATTGTAAAAAAGTGCATTAAACTTCTTACATTTTAAGGTAGTAAATGACAGTGGCTCAAGTTTGGTTTGCAATTTTGAACAGCAATCTGTTTTTTCAGCAAGAAACAAAAAAAATTCTACTCTACTTAAAGAAATAGTTTTTCAATATAGAAGACAATTTTATACAAGTTTTACAATATAAAATAAATCATGCAATGCAGATTTCACATAGGACAATACAAACTTACATACAGGTAAAATCATTTTTTTTAAATAATTTCATATTCTAGAATTTCTTTGCGGCCCCCCTAGCGCCATCTAGTGGCCCCCAGTTTGAGAACCGCTAATCAGTTTCAGACATGAAAACTACTCACCTTTCGGCGAAATTCGCCGTTTTGAAACCAAAATAGGTGACCTACGTGAATCGTGTAGATTAGATGAGAAGATGATTAAATGTTAATTTTATGCTTAATCTGTAGATAAAGCTCTGTGGTTTCGCATAAATTGACTCTTGCAGTTGTACCTCAATCATGTTCCTTTACCGCGTGTCTATCACAACATTGGACAGCACTATAATTGTTCGTCACGCGCACAGCAACTGAAATGTGAAACTGTTAAAAGAAAAGGCTCAATAAACTATTGCATAGATAGATAATGTATAATTATCTAATAGATAGATAACTGTATAATACACTATGCATCGATATATGTATTTCCTTTGTTGTTTGTGTTTTGAACTTTTCAATGCGTAACTATAGGGGCTGTTTACACCTGGCCACGTCATGCGTTTTCTCAGATCGGATAGCTATCTGATTTATCAAAACCATTTACACCTGGTCTCATAAATGTGTTTTTGCGAAACGGATATAAATCCGATCTTCAATTCCCGCTCTAAATGCGGATTTAATGAAGTGCACGTCACCGAAAGCAACAGATATGAGCTGCATTTTAATAATCATCGGCTAATTTCAAAATCAGCAAAGACAGCAATAAGAGAGAGCGGCAACAGAACTGGTAAGATCATTTCGTTTCTTTACTTTTAATGAAGATGGTAGTGTTAATCGTCTGCGATTTACTTTCACTTTGGTTTGCGATAGATTGCGGCGCGTTGGCTTGATAGGCGTTCAGCTGCTCATCTGAGGTGACGCGCGTCGCAGTAGCGTCGTCATATGACTAAAATAGCATGACATATAGCCTGTAACACGCTCTCGCGCGTTTATTTATTTATTTTTTTAGCATTTTTGGGAGTAGTAACATTTACATATGTGCTTTCAAGAACCAGATGCATACACGTGTCCAGTTTCGTCTGGAATACGGCCCAGACCACCTTCTGAAGTGGTTTGAGGGATCGGATTCGAATGCGTTTCGGTGGGCATTACATCTGGTCTTTTCACGATCGGATAGCTATCCGATCACAAAAAACGCATGATGTGGCACGGCCCCTAAACAAGCTATAGAGGGGACTTTATTTGAATAGATCATTTTAAGACTATTTGGTTTGCAAAAGATGTACATAACCCTATACCTTTAAGTGTTTCAATATCCATTGTAAATCCACTAAAGGCAATTCTACAGAAAAGTTCTAAACACATTATAAATGTTGCATATGTATTGCTAAAACATATTACAAAGACTGTGAACTGTGAAGTACTGAAATGTCCCGTTAGACCGTTAAACAGTTTTTCACCAATGCAATGGGCTATATGCACGCATAAGTTCCGCATTTGACGTAAGGATGCTCGTCCATTTCCGGTTGTGTAGATTAAAGCGGAGGAAAAACGGAGAAAACGGGATTACGGCAGAGTCTTCAATATTTACTGTCCTCCCGTCTTTGAAACGAAACGTACATACGTTTAGATGTAATTTTATATATAGTTATGTTTATTTAATATAATTTTAAAAAGAAGCATAAACACAACGAGGGGTGTCTGTTTTATCTGTTTTTGTGACTAATGTTTCATTAGTATAACCATGGAGTATAAAATTCAATATAAATTCACGGTATTGCGTTGGACTCTATGATCGGCGGAAGTTATCGAGCATCCTTAATCCTTCACCGGAAATAACGCCGTGCATAGAGCCCATTTTACGGATTGTTTGGGCGGGGCTAAAACAGGGCTCGATGACGCACTGGAGCCCATGAGCTCCTGGACACGCCCCTATTTGATGACGCATTTTGCTGATCTCATCTCTCCCCTAACAATAGAGCACATTCGCATTCGCCGCTCAATCGCGAGTGACTGTCAGTCCTATTAGTTACTACAGCCTACAGTTTTCTAGCTAGCGATGGCTTCAACACAGAAATGCATGGGCTGCTACCTGGATGCGATCATGTACAAAACAAATCGGTATCTTTATTTAAATTCCCTAAAAACGATCACATCAAGAAGAGGTTTATAGAGAGCCAACCTTGATGAAGAGCTGAGGATCACCGCCAACACCCGCCTCTGTAGTGATCGTTTTACACTGGATAGTTTTATAAACTTTCCTCAGAGACAACTGGGATTCACTGATAATCCGCTGTTACTGGTGAACGGGGCTGAAACTACTATCTCCCGCCTCAGTGTTCATCCTCCCGTCTCCAAAAGCTAATCAGCTAATATCACCATCGACAGCTTTCTCGTGAGTGGGCGTGGTTTCCACGCAGCCAGCGGACACGCCCCCAGCGTTTGAGGACAGAGATAACAGCTCATTTTTTCATGATTTTGATAGCTTATTTTATCTACTTGCCGGCTTTTTTTATCATTCAAATTTGGCTGGGTGGCTAATTACACATTTTTCTGTCGTGTCACAAACTCAGAACACATACTTAATTTTGACTTTACGGGCCAGAGACTTTAATGTATTCAATTTAATGAATTATTTTATTTATCAAAATGAACAAAAAATACAAACATTGCTGAAGTGATTGTTTTGAACAATCCCATAATAATTGAATATAGATTTGCAGTGGTGAGTGGTGACACTAAATATGACTTTATAATATAATTGAAATCATATTTTTAAATGAGAAAAAAATGAGCTGGAGCAGACGCCACTGACTCTGGAGGAGCTGGAGCAGACGACACTGACGCTGGAGGAGACGACACTGACTCTGGAGGAGCTGGAGCAGACGACACTGACTCTGGAGGAGCTGACTCTGGAGGAGCTGGAGCAGACGACACTGACTCTGGAGGAGCTGGAGGAGACAACACTGACTCTGGAGGAGCTGGAGCAGACGACACTGACTCTGGAGGAACTGGAGCAGACGACACTGACTCTGGAGGAGCTGGAGCAGACGACACTGACTCTGGAGGAGCTGGAGCAGACGACACTGACTCTGGAGGAGCTGGAGGAGACGACACTGACTCTGGAGGAGCTGGAGCAGACGACACTGACTCTGGAGGAACTGGAGCAGACGACACTGACTCTGGAGGAACTGGAGCAGACGACACTGACTCTGGAGGAACTGGAGCAGACGACACTGACTCTGGAGGAGCTGGAGGAGACGACACTGACTCTGGAGGAGCTGGAGCAGACGACACTGACTCTGGAGGAGCTGGAGCAGACGACACTGACTCTGGAGGAGCTGGAGCAGACGACACTGACTCTGGAGGAGCTGGAGCAGACGACACTGACTCTGGAGGAGCTGGAGGAGACGACACTGACTCTGGAGGAGCTGGAGGAGACGACACTGACTCTGGAGGAGCTGGAGCAGACGACACTGACTCTGGAGGAGCTGGAGGAGACGACACTGACTCTGGAGGAGCTGGAGGAGACGACACTGACTCTGGAGGAGCTGGAGGAGACGACACTGACTCTGGAGGAGCTGGAGGAGACGACACTGACTCTGGAGGAGCTGGAGCAGACGACACTGACTCTGGAGGAGCTGGAGGAGACGACACTGACTCTGGAGGAGCTGGAGGAGACGACACTGACTCTGGAGGAGCTGGAGGAGACGACACTGACTCTGGAGGAGCTGGAGCAGACGACACTGACTCTGGAGGAGCTGGAGCAGACGACACTGACTCTGGAGGAGCTGGAGCAGACGACACTGACTCTGGAGGAGCTGGAGGAGACGACACTGACTCTGGAGGAGCTGGAGGAGACGACACTGACTCTGGAGGAGCTGGAGCAGACGACACTGACTCTGGAGGAGCTGGAGCAGACGACACTGACTCTGGAGGAGCTGGAGGAGACGACACTGACTCTGGAGGAGCTGGAGGAGACGACACTGACTCTGGAGGAGCTGGAGGAGACGACACTGACTCTGGAGGAGCTGGAGGAGACGACACTGACTCTGGAGGAGCTGGAGGAGACGACACTGACTCTGGAGGAGCTGGAGGAGACGACACTGACTCTGGAGGAGCTGGAGGAGACGACACTGACTCTGGAGGAGCTGGAGGAGACGACACTGACTCTGGAGGAGCTGGAGCAGACGACACTGACTCTGGAGGAGCTGGAGCAGACGACACTGACTCTGGAGGAGCTGGAGGAGACGACACTGACTCTGGAGGAGCTGGAGGAGACGACACTGACTCTGGAGGAGCTGGAGTAGACGACACTGACTCTGGAGGAGCTGGAGCAGACGACACTGACTCTGGAGGAGCTGGAGCAGACGCCACTGACTCTGGAGGAGCTGGAGGAGACGACACTGACTCTGGAGGAGCTGGAGCAGACGCCACTGACTCTGGAGGAGCTGGAGGAGACGACACTGACTCTGGAGGAGCTGGAGGAGACGACACTGACTCTGGAGCAGCTGGAGCAGACGACACTGACTCTGGAGGAGCTGGAGCAGACGACACTGACTCTGGAGGAGCTGGAGCAGACGACACTGACTCTGGAGGAGCTGGAGCAGACGCCACTGACTCTGGAGGAGCTGGAGCAGACAACACTGACTCTGGAGGAGCTGGAGCAGACGCCACTGACTCTGGAGGAGCTGGAGCAGACGACACTGACTCTGGAGGAGCTGGAGGAGACGCCACTGACTCTGGAGGAGCTGGAGGAGACGCCACTGACTCTGGAGGAGCTGGAGCAGACGAAACTGACTCTGGAGGAGCTGGAGCAGACGCCACTGACTCTGGAGGAGCTGGAGCAGACGCCACTGACTCTGGAGGAGCTGGAGCAGACGAAACTGACTCTGGAGGAGCTGGAGGAGACGACACTGACTCTGGAGGAGCTGGAGGAGACGCCACTGACTCTGGAGGAGCTGGAGCAGACGACACTGACTCTGGAGGAGCTGGAGCAGACGACACTGACTCTGGAGGAGCTGGAGGAGACGAAACTGACTCTGGAGGAGCTGGAGGAGACGACACTGACTCTGGAGGAGCTGGAGGAGACGACACTGGAGGAGCTCATGTGTTGTGTCGTGTTGTGTCCCCTGGCCGACGCCCCTGACACAACAAAAGCTGTCCCAATGCAGTCAAGACTGGCGTTTACTTGCCAAGGTCAATAAATGCTTTAGCAGTATTTGTTCATTGTTAAGTCATGTTAACTAACATGTTAACTAATGAAACCTTATTGTAAATTGTTTATATTACTGATTTGCTATGATCCCTGTCACATAAGACATGTCCTGACACCTCAGATATGCAAAGCACTGATTAGTTTATGTCCTGTAAGATGGACTCTGAGTAAAAGCTAGAGAAAAGTCTGATTCTCCCTCAGTGCTGTGTTGTGGTAGTGTTCCTCTCTCACCAGCAGATGGCCTTTGGATCACAGCTCTAGATGACAGTGAAATGTTGATCTCACAGTATATGTTTATTCAGAGCGTTTATTCAATTAATTTAAATGAATGAGCTGAATGTAGATGCAAGTGCAGATATCAGAGGCTTCAAATGAGAGTGAGTTTAGTGAACAGAGCACTTAGTGGCTAAAGAATGACGTCAGAGTCGATCTTCAGACATTATCAGTGCGCAAGAGCTATGGGACGGATGCTGATTGGCTGACGGATGAACTTCTGTGCTCTGATTGGGCGAAGGGAGATAATTAAACACCTACACAGATAACACAACTCTTCATGGTGAATATATAAGGGCTTGACCACTGACGCCACACACAGTAGTATCAAGGTGGTCTTTAGTTCAGAGTCAACACTTTCACCGAACAGCAACACAAGGTGAGGTAAGACCATAAAGCTGGTTTTTGTGAGATTGAGACGTCAGTGGTTTGGGAAAGGAACGCCTTTCATTACTCTAATGGGTTTGAGTGGTGAATGAGGCTTCACAGGCGACGCTATAGGCAAATGCATGTAGTCACTGTGTTTTTGTCCCAGGGGAACATGTTCCTGTTGAAGATCTCTGCCTTGCTAGTGGTGCTGCAGATGTCCAGCTCGAGCGCTGCCCCGGCCAGGTAAAGCTTCCCTCCCTTCTCATGTAGAGTCCACAGGTGGGCTGATCTGCATCACCGTTTGCTCTGTGTCTTCAGACCCGCTTCAGAGTCTCTGACAGACAGATTTGCGCTCATGGACTACGAGGCACGGAGATTATTGAGCGCTATAGTCAAAAACGTGGTGCAGATGACGGCGGAGGAGCTGGAGCCCACCAGTGATGACGACAGGTACGAACTCCACAGGTTTGTAGGACTTTCTGAGCAGGGAAAGAGTGCGTTTATGTGAAACGACCGACGACTCCTGTTTTCATTCTGTGAGAGGCAATCGCAGTAGATCCAGTTAGTCAAGTGGAGAGATCAGTGTGAAAGTTTCTCTGCCGGATGAGGTGCACATCTTCCTTCTCACAGAAATGCAGTGAAGCCTGTTTGCTTGTCCTAACAGCAGCATGCGATCTCTCCGTCCTCTGAATCCTGCACGTTCCCACCTGAGCATGTTCTCTCTCTCTAACCTGATGCATGTGTGAGCACTAACAGGCGGACTCCCGCTGCATGTGTGTGTGATGCGCCTGTCCGCATGTGTTTCTGTTCAGCCAGGGCAGATTCCTGTCCAAGCGCTGCTCCAATCTCAGCACCTGTGTGCTGGGAAAACTGTCCCAGGAGCTGCACAAACTGCAGACGTTCCCGCAGACGGACGTGGGCGCGGGGACGCCCGGCAAGAAGCGCAGCCTGCTCGAGGGCAACCTGTTCCCCAGCTACGAGGAATCCTTTAACACCATCTAACCCTCCCCCCCGCTGCATGTGGAGCTTGACTGACCGCACACACACGCCTGCTGCATCGGGCTCTTCCTTCCTTCCTTCGTTCGTTCTGTCTTTGTTTTTTTGGCAGAGAAAGGCATGTTAAGACCTAGATTAAATTTCTTCCTCAAGGAGTCATTTTTGTGCATTTCACATGTATTATAAAGGTAACTGATGATGATAATCAAATATATATAAAAAAAGTATGATTTCTTTCATGTAATTAAGTTCAATAAAGGTATTTTTATATCAGGAAGTCTAATTTTATTGTCAAGTTATTAGTTACATATTCAATTGTTAAACTGCCTCTACAAAAACAACAAGATTTCTGCAGGTAAGATGACATCTGTGAATGTGATCAAATCATCAGACTGATAATTCCATACACATTAAATATTAAATAGATGAGTAATGCATGAGTGTACTTTACTGAGTGTTGTATATGGGTGTCCCTGTGCTGATCCGCGCTCCCGCTCTCTGTTGCTCAGCGTGACCGCGCAGAAGCGCGCGTGTAACACGGCCACGTGCGTGACTCACCGGCTGGCGCACTCCCTGAGCCGGTCTGGGGGAATGGGCAGATCTGGGTTCATCCGGACCGATGTGGGACCCGACGCGTTCGGCAGGAGGAGGAGGAGGAGGAGCTGAGCGCACGAGCGGGGTATGGGCGCGCCCCCGAGACTCTGAGCGGTGTGTGTGTGTGTGTGTGTGTGTGTCTGTGTCACGAGCGCGCGAGAGACTCCGTGCGGTGTGTGTGTGTGAGAGAGAAAGTTTCTGACCGTGTCTTCTCTGTTCCACAGGTGAACTGGACCAGAGCCACACACGTCCCCGCTGAACTACACCACATCTTAGACACGCACAAGCACTTGTGTTATCCATGTGTATTGACTGGGCGTCTGAAACACAGAGAAATCTATAGATTTTTATACGAAATAAATCAGATTCATATGGACATTGTGTGTACGCTGTGTGTTTATTCTGCATCTCTGTGGGGACAGGACAAATCCTTCATGTGTGTGTTCACTCTTAACAATACAACTTGTTCACTGGCATCATGGGAAGTTTCGCTTGCACAAAAGAATCTTTATAGTGGGAGTTGCTTCTTTAGATGATTAGCATGTTCTTTACACTATGAATAAAGTTGTTATTTTCAGAACATTTCACTGACAGGCTCTTAGGGGAACCACAATGCTTCTTCAAAGCCCCTTTGCAGCCTTTATTTTCAGGCTGTGATAATAAATTGAAGGTATTGTAGAGATTAGCTTTGTGATTGTGAACTTCTGAGGTGTGTTTGAAAGGCTTGGACCTGCTGAACCGGATCAAGCTCATGTTATATCATCTGCAGGACATTCAATGCTCTCCGGACGGGCTCATTATAACCCGAGATAATACACTAGGTGTGGTTTTAAAATGCATCATACATCCAGTCCGTTCAAAATCATTCATACAAACTCGAGGAAGATTTGTGCCGTCACTGTCCAACAGGTGGCAGAGCGAGTCCCATTTTAAAAGCCTATTTTACTGAAGAAGAATGACTTTGAATTTTATTAAATAAATGGTTATGATTCTACAGTCCATCCAGGCCATGTTCAGCTTGATAACACCGTATGCAGGCTAGAGTGTGTTTGCACACGCGTAACCTGTTATTCAGGCATTGCTGTGTGTGTTCAGCGGCTCTCCTCCTTCACTGGGGTTATTCTCCTGTTTCTCCTCTGAACAGATCACACTGATCCTCTCCAGAAGAACACACACACATACACACACACACACACACACACACACACACACACACACACACACACACACACACACACACACACACACACACACACACTGATCCTCTTTTATCCTGATATATAAATAAATACTGACCCTTCACACTTTTTCTAAAGCATTACAGTTTTTTACAATCACTTTGTTACTATTTTCAGAACCTTGATGTCATTTTTCACAACTCTAGACACAAAACTCAAAACGGTTATCACTTGTAACACAGGCTGTCTAATGTTCAAAACACTGCATCGTGCATTCACATCTTTAAAGAAATCTTGCACTTGCACAATCATTGGTTCAAAAAAAAAACAAATTTATTGTGAAATACCATTGAAACATAACTATAGATCACCCACGCACAAGCTACCGATAGTTTCACTGTCATTATTCGTACAATCATTAAGTTGGCTTGAGAAAGCCAACTTACTGAAATCCTATTTAAACTTATTATTATTCTTCTTCTTCTTCTTATTTTTCTTACCCAAAATTTTCTGACTCTAACTCCTCCTAGAGCTTTAACTCTACAAACTCCAAACTCGGGTCAGACCTTCAGACTGTTCTGACTTAGTGTGCTATATCTTTTTAGACTGATTCGACTTTCAGATTTCTTAAAAATTAATATTAAAAATCATAAAAATCCCATTGACTTTCATTGCAGCATGGTCAAATTGAGCCAAGACTACGGTGGCCCAATAGCGTACAACAAAAACTCAAATCTAAATTCCCTGAAGCCCTAGACTCAATTAAACTACCATTCTATATGTACTAATGATCTATCTATCTATCTATCTATCTATCTATCTATCTATCTATCTATCTATCTATCTATCTATCTACCTAATCTTTCTTTCTTTCTTTCTAACTAATCTATCCATCTTTCTTTCTTTCTAACAAATCTATCCATCTTTCTTTCTTTCTAACAAATCTATCCATCTTTCTTTCTTTCTAAATAATCTATCCATCTTTCTTTCTAACAAATCTATCCATCTTTCTTTCTAGCAAATCTATCCATCTTTCTTTCTACCCAACTAATCTATCCATCTTTCTTTCTAACAAATCTATCCATCTTTCTTTCTAACTAATCTATCCATCTTTCTTTCTACCTAACAAATCTATCCATCTTTCTTTCTACCTAACAAATCTATCCATCTTTCTTTCTAACAAATCTATCCATCTTTCTTTCTAACTAATCTATCCATCTTTCTTTCTAACAAATCTATCCATCTTTCTTTCTAACAAATCTATCCATCTTTCTTTCTAACAAATCTATCCATCTTTCTTTCTACCTAACACATCTATCCATCTTTCTTACTAACAAATCTATCCATCTTTCTTTCTAACTAATCTACCCATCTTTCTTTCTAACAAATCTATCCATCTTTCTTTCTACCTAATCTATCCATCTTTCTACCTAACTAATCTATCCATCTTTCTTTCTAACTAATCTATCCATCTTTCTTTCTAACTAATCTATCCATCTTTCTTTCTAACTAATCTATCCATCTTTCTTTCTAACAAATCTATCCATCTTTCTTTCTATCAAATCTATCCATCTTTCTTTCTAACAAATCTATCCATCTTTCTTTCTTTCTAACAAATCTATCCATCTTTCTTTCTACCTAATCTATCCATCTTTCTACCTAACTAATCTATCCATCTTTCTTTCTAACTAATCTATCCATCTTTCTTTCTAACTAATCTATCCATCTTTCTTTCTAACTAATCTATCCATCTTTCTTTCTAACAAATCTATCCATCTTTCTTTCTATCAAATCTATCCATCTTTCTTTCTATCAAATCTATCCATCTTTCTTTCTAACAAATCTATCCATCTTTCTTTCTTTCTAACAAATCTATCCATCTTTCTTTCTTTCTAACAAATCTATCCATCTTTCTTTCTAACTAATCTATCCATCTTTCTTTCTATCAAATCTATCAATCTTTCTTTCTTTCTAACAAATCTATCCATCTTTCTTTCTTTCTAACAAATCTATCCATCTTTCTTTCTAACAAATCTATCCATCTTTCTTTCTACCTAACTAATCTATCCATCTTTCTTTCTTTCTAACTAATCTATCCATCTTTCTTTCTAACAAATCTATCCATCTTTCTTTCTAACTAGTCTATCCATCTTTCTTTCTACCTAACTAATCTATCCATCTTTCTTTCTACCTAACTAATCTATCAGTCTTTCTTTCTAACAAATCTATCCATCTTTCTTTCTAACTAGTCTATCCATCTTTCTTTCTACCTAACTAATCTATCCATCTTTCTTTCTACCTAACTAATCTATCAGTCTTTCTTTCTACTTAACTAATCTATCCATCTTTCTTTCTAACAAATCTATCCATCTTTCTAACATCTTTCATGATGCTAGCTACATGCTAATCATGCTAGCTTCTTGCTAAAAACATGCTAGCATGATGCTAGCAACATGCTAATCATGCTAGCATGATGCTAGCTACATGCTAATCATGCTAGCTTCTTGCTAAAAACATGCTAGCATGATGCTAGCAACATGCTAATCATGCTAGCATGATGCTAGCTACATGCTAATCATGCTAGCTTCTTGCTAAAAACATGCTAGCATGATGCTAGCTACATGCTAATCATGTTATTATGATGCTAGCTACATGCTAATCATGCTAGCATGATGCTAGCTACATGCTAATCATGCTAGCTTCTTGCTAAAAACATGCTAGCATGATGCTAGCAACATGCTAATCATGCTAGCATGATGCTAGCTACATGCTAATCATGCTAGCTTCTTGCTAAAAACATGCTAGCATGATGCTAGCTACATGCTAATCATGCTAGCATGATGCTAGCTACATGCTAATCATGCTAGCGTCTTGCTAAAAACATGCTAGCATGATGCTAGCAACATGCTAATCATGCTAACATGATGATAGCTACATGCTAATCATGTTAGCTTCTTGCTAACAACATGCTAATCATGCTAGCATGATGCTAGCTACATGTTAATCATGTTAGCTTCTTGCTAAAAACATGCTAGCATGATGCTAGCAACATGCTAATCATGCTAGCTTCTTGCTAAAAACATGCTAGCATGATGCTAGCAACATGCTAATCATGCTAGCATGATGCTAGCTACATGCTAATCATGCTATCTTCTTGCTAAAAACATGCTAGCATGATGCTAGCAACATGCTAATCATGCTAGCATGATGTTAGCTACATGCTAGTCATGCTAGCGTCTTGCTAAAAACATGCTAGCATGATGCTAGCAACATGCTAATCATGCTAGCATGATGTTAGCTACATGCTAGTCATGCTAGCTTCTTGCTAAAAACATGTTAGCATGATGCTAGCAACATGCTAATCATGCTATTATGATGCTAGCTACATGCTAATCATGCTAGCTTCTTGCTAAAACATGCTAGCATGATGCTAGCAACATGTTAATCATGCTAGCATGATGCTAGCTACATGCTAGTCATGCTAGCTTCTTGCTAAAAACATGTT